TTTATTCTTTTTTTTTTTTTTTTTTTTTTTTTTGAAGCAAGAATGTAAAATATATTCCTCCAGAAAAGCTGTAACTGTTTTCAAATGCTTTTATATGAGACTTCATTGAAATCTTCCGTCTGGTAGAATTTGGGGTTTGTACAGGATCACAGATCGCTCAGAAGGGACATTGAGAGGTCTGTAGTCCAGCCTCCTGCTGGAAGCAGGGTCAGCAAATTCAGCCGAGTTACCGATGGCTTTGTCTGGTGAGGTTTTGAAGACCTCCAAGAACTGAAGTTCCACAATCTCTCAGACAGTCTTTTCCAGTGCCTAATTATTCCTGTACTGATATTTTTCCTCCCTTATATCTATCTATGCCTCTCCATTTTAGTACATGACCATTTTCTCTTGTCCACCTGCCCTGCACTGCTGCGAAGAGTCCAACTCTATCTTCTCAGTTACCTGCTTGTAAATAGTGGTGATCTCCCCACAAAGCCATCCCTTTCCCTCTGCCTCTCCTCATGGACAAGTCCTCCAGTCCATGGCCACCTCCATAGTTCTCTCCTGAACTCATGCTTACCAAGATCCTCCTTGTACAGGACTCAAAGCTGGATACAGTATTCCAGATGCATCCTTACTAGTGTCCATTAAAGGGGAATGATTGCTTGCCTTGATCTCCAAGCTGCTCTCTTGGTGATACAGGACAGTATGCCTTGTGTCTTGATGTTCCCGGGGACAGGAAAGTACACCTTGGCCAAATGCAGCTGTTCTGCTAAAATAGGTTGTATCCAACAGCTTAATCCTTTTATCTCATCAGTGTCTGTTCTTTTGTTCCATTACTAAATGTGTCTTATCAAAGATTTGTGGTCAAGCACCCAAAATAGCAACACAATTTACATTTTAAAAGTTGTCATTGGCATCTCTTTCACTACATTAAAGTTGCCAGATGTTTTCTGTTCATTTAATTAGAATATGTATTTAAAAACCTAGACCTAGAGTAAGTTACAATGGATTCAGTAAAAAGTAGATATGCCTGATGAATTAATGTTGTCTTTGGTTAGTTTTCAATTTGAATACCACAGAACTAAAATAATCTGGTCATGTCTAGTCCAGTAGCCCTAGATTGTGTAATTTGCATTCGTTTACTTTTTTCTTTTTTCTGCAAACAAAACCATTCAAAATCCAGAGATAATGAAGCACCTTGTTTCTTATTGTATTTTCTTCTGTAACTTTTTCAAAAAAATGAAAAATACATTTAAAGATTATTAAGGGCAAATAGTCTTGTAAAAGCTGAAAGGAGCCAAAATTAGGTTTGAATGTAAATGAAAGGTACACATAATAATTTGGGAGGAGCTCTGAGTGAAGTATAGAGAAATCTGCAGGACATAAAAACCTCTTTAAAATGTTGTTCAGTATTTTAAAATGCAGTTCAGTATTTCTAGAGAAAAGGCACTAAAACATGCAAAGTACCCTGGGCAGAATTAATGCCCAAAAGGGTACAAGGTGTCCAAGAACACATCTTCTAGGGAAATTAGGTAACTAAACAGACACAATTCCGTGCATGGTGATGGCAGTGAGATCTTGATGTCCTAGGTGAATTTAAAGCCCTCAAATGCCATGTGCTTTGCCAGGCTGAGCCTGCACTGTGAGCCACTATGGGACACATTTGTGAGTGTTTGACCCTAGGCATCACTCTGCATGACATTAGTCTGCCAGGGAACTTTAAAGAGAAGCAGCAAACTAGCTGGCACTTACATGATTACTTTGAACTTATAATTGTGTAAAATAGAGTCAAAATATCCTACAAGGTACTTGGATATATGTAGTGTATATTCAACTTATGTATGCATTGAGTTGGGCAGACAGGAACCTCCTGAGGTTCAACAAGGACAAGTGCAGGGTCCTGCACCTGGGGAGGAATAATCCCAGGTATCAGTACAGATTAGGGGTCRACCTGCTGGAGAGCAGCTCCACRGAGAGGGACCTGGGAGTCCTGGTGGACACCAAGTTTAGTGCCCTCGTGGCCAAGAAGGCCAATGGGATCCTGGCTGCATCAGGAGGATGTTGCCAGCAGGCCAAGGGAGGGGATCCTGCCCTGCTTCTCAGCTCTGGTGAGGCCGCACCTGGAGTACTGTGTGCAGTTCTGGGCTCCCCAGGACAAGAGGGATGTGGAGCTTCTAGAGAGGGTCCAGTGAAGGGCAACAAAGATGATTAAGCGACTGGAGCATCTCTTGTATGAGCAGAGACTGAGTTGGGCCTGTTTTCCCTGGAGAAGAGAAGGTTGAGGGGGTATCTGATCAACATGTACAAATACCTGAGAGGAGAATGTAGGGAGGAGGGGGCCAAACTCTTCTCAGTGGTGGTTATGATAGTATGCGATAGGTGTAAGTTGATAGGAGCAATGGATATAAGCTGAAACACAGGAAGTTTCATCTTCATGTGAGGAAGAACTTTCCTGTGAGGGTCATAGAGCACTGGCACAGGCTGCCCAGGGAGGTTGTTGGAGTCTCCTTCTCTGGAGATCTTCAAACCCTGTGCCCTGTGCTCTGGGTGTCTCTGCTGGAGCAGGAGGGTTGGACTAGATGATCTCTGGAGGTCCCTTCCAACCTTAACCATGCTGTGATTCTGTAGTATGAATACAAAGTGTGTCTGGTTTATATGCATATCTAAATATATATATTTCTATACACATGCTGTAACAAATGAAAGAATAAAATGCAATGAAAAATACAGTGTTTGAAAAAGTAAAGTGTTGTTAAGTGCAGGAGAATGACAATTGTAAAAACACCAGGTGGGACTCTGTCTGAAATGAAGCCAAAAGGAGTTTTGGCACTGGATCTGAATGTGGGCAGGGTTTCAGACTTCTCTTTTATTCAGTTCTTCATGCCCTACTACTCAGTGCAGAGCTGATTATATAACCTCATTTTCATAAATGTCTTGGGTGTCCTCCAAGGTTTTTGTGAAATCCATCCATATTTTCAACCTTTTCCTTTCAAGTGAAAGAGAATTGGAAAGAAGTGTGAAGGTCTTTCAGAAGAAAATGCAGGGAGATATCTAACAACAGAACTTGAAAGATGAATGATTCTGTGCTCTGTTTTCATGTATACATCTGCAATGTTTTTTTTTTTTTTTTTGAGTTGACCAAAATTACAATTAAAGAGCCAAAGTTGAAACTAAATCMTATATTATACAGTATTGGAGTGAATGATGGTGTACATTAAAACTTACAATAGATCATAGCTTTTGGTAGGTCCTTGACCTRTAAGTAACAATGAGAGGTAAAATCTTACCTATATATTCTGCAAGTCCAGATTTACACATCCATCAAAATATGAAATGGGAAGCTTCAAAATCATTCTTTCCAAATGCATCTTATACTTAACAAGTCTCCTACATTATTAATGTTTTCAGGTCTTAATTTGTTGTGGTAATGAATGGGGGACTAACCGCAGCTCTGAGGTCTGCAGTAGTCTCCTGTAGAACAGTTGCTGAAGTCATATGAAAAAAGATGGTGTATGTTCTAGAGCAATTTAGTTTTTTGGCAATTAAGAGATAACAGATAAGAATATGATGTAAAACTCTACAGTGAGCAGACTACAGAACAAGAGTACAGAAGAATTACTATTTTGCTATATGGAGGGGAAAGCAGCCTTATGATTCCAACTCAAATTCTGCAGGATGCTTCTATACCATAAAAAGTAACTTTTTGAAATGAAAGGTTTCCTTTATAGAAATATTATAAACTCTGTATTTCTTTTGTAGACTTTTGCCCAGCCGGTTAAGTTTAACCCTGATTTTGGGGTTTTTGAAGTAGTTGATGATGCCCCTCAGCGCCTGGAAAGCCAGCTGAAAAAAATTCTGCATGACCAGAAACCTCCCAACCCCATTTATGATGTTATAAGGAAAGCAAAGAATGATGGGCAGCTTTCCAAAAAGAGCAAAGCTTCTCCAGCCTTGAATATTGATCCAAATTACAACACTATGGTAAGCATCTTATAGCCACTGAGTTTATATTTAGATCTTACTGTAGAGATACTGGCAGTAGTTATTGTTGTGTTTGGCTTGTTAGCTTGGGAAAAATGTTAATTTACGTTAGGAAAACATAATGATGGGCCAAATTATGCCCTGCAATGCACATGTGTCTACCAGACAAGTGAATGGAGTTACACATATACATCCTGTAGCACAGAATTTTGAAGGTTCTGTAGGGCAGGATTCATTTGTGTGGTCTGAATGCTTTTTAATATTAAAAGAGAAAATATTATGACAACAGTTACTTTACTAGTGATCCCTGGAATGTGCAAATTGACTGAAACTAATGCATCTCAGTCTTTCCTTATTAATTAATTTCCTTATGTGGCTATGAGCTCATCTGTGGTCTGGCAACACATAAGTCTCTCTTCCATTAATTCCCAAAGGATTTACATGATTAGCATCAATTGAAATGGCCAGAAAAAATAACCTTTGGCAACAAGAAAGCTATATTAATGAAGAGATAGGTTGGAATTCAGAAAAAAAAATAAAATCAGCTTTGCTCAGACTCTATGAATTTTGGTATGTTCACCTGTTTACTCTCGGGACTTTCTTCATCTTTGGAATTATCCTGTGAGCCTACCATAATATAATAGTGTTAGAAGAGAAAAACAAATGTCACTGGGATACATTATTTGTTCCTTTTCTGCTTAATTTGCATTGGTGTAACTGATGTGAGTTCATTTCATTCAAGGCCAGTCTAAGGTCTTGCCACATGTTAAGAGGATGCTGCTCTGTATTATGTCATAGCTGGAAAGCTAATAGAAAATCAGGGAGTTATAACTGACTTTGTTCAGCATAAGCTTAATGATTTTCAGAAAAGAAAACACAGTGCTGGGAGAGGTCAAAAGGCAATGACATTTAGCAAATTGATGGTAACGGGARACAAAGAGGAGTTTATCTGTGTATAAACTGGTAGACTAGGTATATGTGAAGTACAAATGGTACAACAGGACAAGGTTCAGAGATATTTCTACCACATTAGGTGATTTTTCTCAGAAAACTTTGCTTGAGAGCACAAAAGCCAAAAGGCTGTTCTTGATTTCTTATTTGTACTCAGGATTTAACTGAAGAAATATTGTGTGCTTGAGCAAGAGTGGTTAAGATTGCTTTCCGGGATGACCTCACATCACTGCAACTGTGGACAGCCTTCTTGACAAATTCAAAGCCACCACCTTGCCTTCATTATTTCTTATGTCTTTCATGTGGATTGGAACAAAGAGTGCCTGCATTATTCTAGAATACATTTCCTTCTCTAGGGGAATTTCCAGAAATGGGAACCATTATGGCCTTTGTAAGGAGCACTTTACCCCTATGCACTTTCTTATGCATTTTTGCAGGAGGGAGATGTTTCTCCTTTTTTAGAGAGGGAGCTGTTTTACTGACCAAGTAATTGGGTTGCCTTATCAACTTCAGTTTGGCATCTCAAGGCTAACCTCACTGTTACTGACCAAGCAGAAGAATTTGTAGACCAATTTCATCAAACAGTTCAGTTCAATCAAATGGGGTTTGATCTTTCAGGCTTGGAGCTATGTTGCCTCCTTTGCTTGGGCTGTTTTTTTCTTTGCTTGTTTCACACTGACTGAAGAGACTCAAAATTGCATATTACACTCATACAATACACAYAAAGTTGAATATTATATTCCTTGAGTGGCATCACTGGCCCATTAGGCTGTGATCTGACAGTCTTAGTGTGCCTTCCAAGCTGAAGCCTGATTTTAAATTTTAATTTTTTACCTAGCCTGAGAAATACATGGGATAGTATYTTTCTCTGCTTTTTTCCTTACTTCCCTTTCAGACTCTTACAAATTTACTTATAAGGAAATGATCTGCCTGTGCACTTGCAAATTATAGATAAGGAAGAAAGTGTCTTCTCATCAATCATCAAAATCATCTCCTGAGGAAAATATATTAAGAAAAAAGATAGATATGCAGGGTTGGGTGGATGGGACCAGTAGGGAAAGAAACTGTCTGGCACCCCATGGATCCTACTTCAGAGAACCCCCAGTTCAGCAAAGCTCTTAGGTGTTTAACTTCAATCAAGTGAAGTTAAACACATGCTTAAGCTTAAAGATGTGCTAAAAGCTTTGCTGGATTGGGTCCCAGCAGGGCCTACGGCTGGCTGGGTAAGGAAGCTAACCAAGGTAACAAAACCATCAGATTAAGTGTAGCACTTCTTCTCTGGGGAAGAGGAAAGCGTGGATGTTCTTTCCTGCTCATAGAACATATGATTTTGTGTACCAGCTATGAATAGACAGGGACATGTTACGAATCACTTAGATAAAAAACTGGGCTGTGAGTCAGTAAGTACATAAATATTAAATGCTGACTGATTGGCCAAAATAAAGAGACAGTCTTCTGTATTTCCAAAGAGCTTGTCAGTTAGCAAAAGGAGGCATAGACTCTGTGGTTGGGAGTAATTAGTCTTCATCTCCACAAATTACACTATATGAGCCACAGCCAATATAAGCTTTCCATATTTTGAAATATTTTCTTCTTTCTAAATGAAACCACCCACTTTGTAAGTAATTTAGATTTTTTAATCCCCTACAGATGACCTATGAAGCAGAAATTACCCTTGTCACTAATGAAATATTAGATCACGGAAAGAAAATTTAAAATGTAATCTACGTGAACCGATTGTTTGATAGAGCAAGTAGCAAAAATATCAGTATTCCATCCTTCTCCAAATTTCACTTGTATTTGTGGAAAAGTGGAATTACCACATTCCTTCAAACCATCAATTCCACCATGCATCAAATAAACAGAACAGGTCATCTCCTTAGAGAAAAAAGAGCGCTCTTAAAATAAAATAAAGGCAGTGTGCTGTGTGTCAGACTGTTTTCTAATAGGAACAGCTATGGCTCACTCTGGCTCATATTCAGAAAACTTGTCCTCCGTGTAGGCCTATTCTTTGGTTAGTTGGCTCTGGGTAGCTCACTGCTCAACACCTCCCTTTGCTCTCCAAATCATTCTGGAAGCACCCAAAGCTGCTGCTTTGACCAGGCTCAGGGACATGGACCTGCTGAAAGGCCTTCTGCACTCTCACTTAGATTTCCATTTAAAGAGTGAATGTGTGCAATGCAATTGTGTAATGTTCCAGCATAAAACTGGAAAATGTGATAGCTGGTCGCCTCTTGGTTTCTTTGATATTGTTCCACAGTTAGCCCATTCTGGGAGGATAAGCTAAGTTAAGGCTTCCTTGTTCTTCAAGTCACGGAGGAAAAATGCAACATATTTTTATTTATAAAATATGTGATATAATCAGCGAAAATAGTAGTTTCCTATGGCCGAAAATGGATGAGCATCTGACATTTAATTTGCATTTAGAATTGTACAGTAAAGGCATGATTCTTATGTCCATTGGTATTGAACAAAAATCACCCATGGTTTGTTAACATAGTTATACACACATAGGTGAAATCAGAATCAGACCTTCTGAACTGTTACAGGTAGGTAAATTAACTCAATGTCCCAGCACGACTGGATAGCAAAGGTAATATTCATTGTACCTTTGTTTTCTGAGACGATGCTTCCATAGGAGAGGGATGGAGAGAATCAGTTGCATGGCAGAAAATACAAGAAAGACAAGAATTATGCAAATCTTGGGCATTCCTTTTTTGTAGCGTCTTCATCGAGAACAAGCAATTCAATGGGTTAAGAAAGAGAGACTTCCAGCATTTCTAGAAAGTGACTGTTACTTTGAATACAGGTATTGCAATCTTTTATGCTCTCTCTCAGTTATAAACTTTATGTCCTCTGCCTAATTTATCTTGACAATAACCTTAAAATATTTTCTCATGTCTTTTGTCCTGTTTAATTTTAGCATTTTAGTGACCTGGATAAATTAAAATCAGTTATTTATTTTCACTTTTCATTCTGTAGTTTTCCTTGATCATGAATTACATACTGTATTACAGCATTTCAGTGTAAAAGTTGCGTTTATCTTTTTCTGAATTTCTCTTCCACAGAGCTACCAATGTGCTTGTGTCTCTCTAATTGATATGTAGACCTATGAAATCTAATTAGAAGAGAAAGTCAGTCTTTATTTTTTAATTAATTTTTAATTTTTAATTTTTAATTTTAATTTTTAATTAATTATTGCTTTGTATCTTTGGGCCATGTCATGAAGTCCTGTCAGGCTTCTTTTTGCAAGGCTCTCTGCTGAATGCCATGGAATAATTGCATGATCTGTAGTTTCTCTGCAAGTTGTTCAGAAGGTTTAGTCTTCTTTTCTGGAAGGATTTGCCTCTACATCCTTAAAGCTGTGTCTAGGTACTGAGAGTGGTAGTGTGTCTTAGGAGACCTAAAATGCAAATTAAATTTATGCTTAATTTCCATTGACAACAGTGTTTTAAGTTGCTTTCCTGAATCCAGATCAAGATAAGCTGACATGATAAAATGGGAACTTGTACTTATGTGTTTAAAGAACAGATAAAGCTATCCTAAGCCTACAGTGAAATCCTATTGCCTTCCAAAAGTGGGGATACTGAGGCTTCTTTTTCTATTAACCTGTGCCTTGCTAAAGTACTCTCTAACTTAACCTAGTCAATTCTGACACCGTTCTTGAGCTCAGAGCACCCTCTTCATAACCATACAGTTTTAACTATACCTGATCTTCTGGACATTGTGAGGGCCACACTAACACTCACATGGTTGTACTGGAGTGAAGCTCTCATATAGCAGAGCAAGATAGCACCAGCTGTTTTGTTACCAGCAACAAGCATCTCCAAGTTCAATTAGGATGATCACTGCTGTGGCACTCTTGCTGGAATATTGCTCATATCAGGAGCAGGAAATGCGGGGTCTGGTGCTCGTACAGGGCTCTGCAAATTGGGAAATGGTTCTGTTTTAGCAATCAAAATGTTCAAGGGTTTCTTGGCAGGGTTTGGAACCGCATGGATATATGCAAGATCATCCTGACAGAAAACAGTTTTGCTGGTAGAGCTTCATAATGCAAAGCAGGCCACCATCTGTGAACTTGATGGACTATGGAACGGCAGTGCTGGTGTTTACATATGTGACAGCAGGCGAGGGGTGAAATCATAAAGTTCCCTGTAGCAATTTATTTTTAGAATGATCATGGTTTTTATTATCTATTTTAGGGATAAAACAAACAACTGCTTCTCTGACTAAAAGCTATAATCAACTACTTTCTTGTTTCAACATTTAATTTCAGGCTAGCTAAGCTGATATCACRGGTAAAATGGAGCAAGACTGGCATTAATTTCATTATAGACAGAGGTTACTATCCCTGGATAAGGAAGAGAGACCCAAGTCCTCCTTTCCCCGAGGAGGATGCCACTTCATCCACTATGAAGAAATTCTATGTTTCACTTGGCAAGGTAAAATAAACATGCTTGCTGGGTATAACATTAAGCTAGATTGAATGCCTTAAGTTTCCATAGCTGTCCTCACAGCCTAATTGGACAACTGATTCTCTGAATAACCCTTTCTGTCAAAGCTCTCTGTACTACAGTAGAAGGTCATTCCACAGCTTAAAAAGAAGGCATTGCTGTGCTAAAAGTGTGCTCAGCTGTTGTCATGCGGCAGCTTTCACTGGGAACTACCACYATGGAAATCTGTACAAACAGAGATTATAAAATGACTTCACCCAGTAAGACCCCTAGTCTCTGAAACATTACAATAAATAGAAAATCATGAATTAATGACATTTCTTTTTTTAGGCTACGCTTTCTCAGACAGAGGATTGGTTTACACTAGCAAAACAGAGTGAATCCGTGAAAAGTGCAGATCCTTTAGCTTCTCGTCAGAGTCAAGATGCTCCTTTTTTCCCTGGTCAGCATGAAAGAAATGATTTATTAAGTGAAAAACCTGCCTTTCTAGGTAAGCAATATAGCTTCAGTTATAGTAAGTCTGACCAGGTAGAAATAAAAGACTTTCTAAGGAATTGCTGCTATGTCTGCTTAGTACTCTGRGTATTCTACTGCATGCAAAAGAACAGAGTTGCACAAGATTGCCTAGGTTAGCCTCTATTTTGTAGGCAGTAACAAGATGAACAGAGAAGTCTCAACACGTAGGAGTATGCTAGGAGTTGTATCTCCCCCTTTCACAGAGAAAGAAGCAGCCATTCCTCTTTCAAAACTGCTCTGCTGGGAATGTGGAGTTCACAGGCTGAGCTGGAAAGTGGAACACACAGCAATTCTTTTTGCTACTCTTTTTTTTTAATTCTTTTTCCAAAACTCATCAAGATTACCTCTGGAAACACATYGCTGATTCATGCATTAGTAACAAAGTTAATCTAGTTGCCTTTGGTTTTGATTCATGAGTCTACTACTAATTTTTGCAGTGCTTTTAGCAGAGAGGCCACAAGTGGATAGTTATTGCAGAGCACTCTACCACAGAGCAGCTCTGAACTGTTGTGAGTTAGGCATAGGTCTATGGAAAACCTGTTTTTCCACTGTTCTGTAACCAGACGTTTTGCCTCAATAGCTAGTTTATATCTTCTCACTGCAAATTTTTTTATAATATTGACCATTATTTTACATATGTTTACTGCTCTTACTTATTGTTATTTCCCGGGAAATCTAGCATTCTTTCAGTTAGAGAATTATTTTTTGGCACAGTGTTCACCTGATGTASACATCAGGAAACAGAAGTAATAAATGGCTTCAACTAAGTTTCTCAGGGTCAACTGCAATGAGAAAGAGTTCAGTAGCCGAAGAGGAAGGTATTTGCTTGGATGATCCAATGTGAATTCCTTGCTCTCTCAGTTGTATCAAGCTTATAAATTGATGCCTCTTGAGCAAAACTATTAGCCGTTTGGCTTGTGATTGCTCYAGAGCTGTATACTTCTCATTCTCCTCAATTCTCATAGGTCCTCTGAAATCATTCTTCGTGTTTCAGTTTCACAGAACAGTACTGAGAAGTTGTATTTTTTCTTTGTCAAGGGATGATATTTGAAATGGTTTAAAAATAAGGAAAGATATTTTAAATTACATTGATTTTATATTCATCTATGTGCCATATGTGCTTCCACATTAAATTATGTAATCACAGAGTGGGGAATTTCTGTGCCAAGTTTCTATTTGATAGTTCTACCCGTGTCAGTGGCTGATACTGTCATCTTCCAGTGTGAGAAACAGGCAATGACAATTTGCTATTTTTTGATTAAACTACCATAAGGAAAAACATAGGCTGATAACATTACAAATATGACTTGGATCTGAGAACTTTAGTCCTTTTCTAGGACGATTTGATGCACTTGTGACATGTGCACCAGAGGGCTGTAGCATCCTCCTCACTCATAATGCAACTCAACCAGACCACATATTTGTCTTAGCAATACAACAGAGTATGAGAGCATAAATATAAGGAACTTTTTGTTTATCTAATACCAATTTACTGCTTAAACTAAAGCAGTGATAAACTAAATTGGTATGAAGATATTGCAAAACCTCAGTAGAATTATGGCTTTGTTTTTTCTTTCATTTAGATTCTGTTGCTGTTCAGAACACGCGTAGCCCTTCTGCTCACTTTTACATGGCTGACTCGGACAGTGGTAGCAGCACTAATCTTGGTAAGCTGTATGTATAAGGTSGAAGTCTTCTCTGCTAACACACACCAAAAATACCTTATTTGCCAAAAGTTTTGGAACTTTTGGAAGCAGTTTTGGAAAACATAGCTGAATCAGTTAAAGCAGTAGGTTCCTTGCATAGCAGAGTGGGATGAAAGGGCATGGTTAAAAGCATCAAGTGCAGCTGCACTGAGTCAGACAGAGAGGGAGGCTGAGGAGATGGAGGGGGATAAAAGGAACAAAGCAGGGGAGATGAGAGGGAAARAGAAAAGAGGGATTGATCACTGTTTTGAACTCATTACAAATCAAATATCTCTAAATGGAAAGGAACAATTTCTAGGTAACAGATGGGACTACAGTATTATTTAATGTGTCCACAGTCCTTAACGTAATCTTTTGTTTTGTAATCTTTCTTCATATGTCAAGATTTTGAACAACTGAAAGAAGCCTGTTTGATGATCTTTTGCAATAATCAGGCTTTTATTTTCAGCATATCTAGACAAGAAGCAATGACTTACTACCTTCCCCGGGCTGAATAAAAAGGAACAAAACAAAAAACTAAAACCAGTCTTGCTGCAGACTGTAACTGTGATCAAACTATACACAAAYCCTCAGAGCAGAAACCAGAACAAACCAGAAGAAGAAAACACCTTGTCTTGCAGGACAAGAAGGTGTTTTAACAAATTCTGTGGAGCTGGGATGCTCAGCTGAGTAAACACGGCAATTTGCTTAGGTGGGAATTGTTCCTGAACTCTGCTCTCTGATGGAATTTAATGGGGAATGAGCTTCTGAGTCCTGGGGCTGGGGTTGTGGACACGGAGCACAGCAGAAGCACCTCCGCTCTTCCTGGTGCTGCAGCAYGATGTGCTCTGATTGCTCTGCAGCYGTGTGATATAAATACATTGCATTGTTTTAACTTGAAAACTTTAGTGTGCAAGAAGACAGTTCTGAGTCAAAAGGATGTTCAATTATGTTTTCTAATTTAATGCAGAAGCAGGTTCCTTGTCTACGGAATCTCACCAGCGGAGTTTCATTTCCCCTTCAAGGACAGCGCCAGCAAAATCCAGGAAGAGATCCAGAAAGGCTGAGGAGGGTTCTGCTGTGGCTATTGCTGCTTCCCGCAGTCAATTAACGGTTTATGTAGGCCAGAAATGGGAGAGTGCAGCAAAAGAAGAAAATGAACAGGGAGTTAATACTTTTCAAACTGTGGAGGAATTCATATCAGCTTATGTTCAGTTTATACTGACGGAAGCCATTTCAAGCTTGATTGGTGAGCCAGTTGCCAAGAGTGAGAATGTTGTGGATTTCAATAAATTGTCTAAGGTGTTTATACAAGAGTTAGCAAATAAGGAAGTTTCCCTTGGTACTACAGAACCACTCTTTTCTCAGAGTTTTTCTCCATTTAATGCCTTGGACTCTAAGTGTGTGGTGCCAGAACGTGATATTGAAGAAGTAAGTTTACGATCGAGTTCGGAAAGCGAAGGGGCAGATAGCAGGGCTGCCTGGTGCACCAGTCACAGAACTTACGACATTGGCAACAGACATGAGTTTGAAAGATTCAAGAAGTTCATTCAAGGAACACTTGGGGAGAGGTACTGGTGGCTCTGGATGGATATCGAACGACTGAAGGTTCTTAAGGGCACCAGAAAGCAGCAAAGGTATTTCCCATTATTTAGCACTTATTCCACTTATTTTAATACTTGTAACCTGGCTAGGTTAATGCAGGTGTTAAGACTGTAGAATAAGTAATGGAAATGAGTGAATACAGTTAAATGAGTGAATACAGGGAATGTAGTTAAAGTAGTTATGAGTGTCCTGACATGGTAAGTCAGGACTGACTTCACAGCTGACAAAACTGACAAAACCTTTTCTTTGTCAGAATGACAAACTGCTTTAATGAAAGGATTTACTAAATTTAGATTGTCTATCCTAATGTACTTAAGTATTTTATCCTACACAAAACCTGGCTCTAATTTGTGCAAAAAAATATTTTGACTTCTGCGATTTATTATAGAAGAAATGTTGCATGACAGCARTTTAATCAGGTAGGATGAACTGTGCTTATTTCTGTATGGCATTTGACATAGGCCTGTGTGACTTTTTGTTGACTCAAGGCAGCTTGACAAGATGAAAAAACTCTATCTGCTGAGTGGTGGAGATTATTGCCTCAGTTCAGAAGTTCTGCTCAGATTAGATCTACTACGTGGAGATCAGTGGAATATAACGCACTTAAGACAGATTCAACCTGAAGTTGTGAAACCTTTACTCCTTTACTGGTATGAATATATGAAGTTAAAATAAGATTCTATTCCTTAACACATTTCCCTTTAATGAGCCCCTTAGAAACATCTATTTCATCTCATTTATCGCATTACAATTATGGGAAGCAGTATCAGCATAAATGCTAGAGGATATTGCCTCAGCGTTTGCAGCTGAGGTTGGCCTGCACTGCAACCTGCTGAGAAGCCAGATAAATCTACCTTGCTGAGCTCCCTGCTATGCTGCTACCAGTAGCAGCTGAGTAACCTTGCATATAGGCACCATGGGCATCGTTTTACTAAACTTCATGCTGAGATGTGGACATATCCCTCCAGGCAGTAAAGGTTAATTCACTGCTATCTTACCCCCATACAGCCCTTCTCAAGTTTATGTAGCTGCTTTAGGTATACATCTGCATGAAGTCTGACCCCAAGACTTTACTGTTCAATGTTATACAACATCCTTTTTACCTATTGACAGCTTAAGTAAGGATACAAATTCTAACCTGCTTCCAAAACATGAGCTAAATTTGTAAAGATCCCACTTCCTTGGAGGATATCAACAAATGGCAGACACGGACAAATACCTGCAACTGTGACCTTTGCTGTCTCCTGAGTCTCATGAGAATTGTGGTTTTGTCCTGTGACCTGCGTTCCTTTTCTATTCTTGCCATGGGAAGGATGAGGCATCTTTTACAACTCTGTTACAGTGCAGTATTTGCAGTCGAAGATTTTTTAGATGTAGTTTGTTTTTAGCTGTGGAAGAGTGCAATGTCTAAATATATCTTTTATACTGCCTTGTTTTTAAATCTAAGTGCTTACAGCAACACAGTAAACCATATATATAGATATAGCAAAAATCATCATGAAAAAATGCCAAATAGCCTAGTTTCATGGAAATTCTATTTGTTAACTTTTGTTTTCCCCTCTAGGGGTCCCAGATTTTGTGTCACTCATTCAACAGCAATACGAATGGCCAGTGCAGAACTGAAGCGTTGGCACACACACCAGGAGAGACCAAGGGTAGACATCGATCCTTTCCCACAAATGGTATCATTGCTGCCACTGAGACCTAAGTCTTGCCTGCCCAGGATAACACATTTCCATCCTCAAGTAAGTAGGTTCCAGTGACAACACTGAGAAACAAAGCCTGGTCCCATCAAAAATTATGGTAAAACTCCTCGAATTCAGTGAGACAAGGATATGGTCCCTAATTGCYACCAAGTCATGATTTAGTAAGAGAGACCTGTTTCTTGCAGATGATCAAGTATAAAAATGTAAAAAAATACTATATTTTAAGCAACAGCTTAGCATAAACTGAATCAAGTTTATGCTATTCTCAGTTACATGCTCACTACTTCACAAGTCCTTTAGAGAAATATTTTAGGTAAACATCCTCCAAACTACATTATATATGTAGCAAAGCATATTCTGCCCTTCAATCAGCCTTATCTTAATCCAGGGTAATTCTTACAGCTTCAGCAACATTCCCCTAAATCTCCCCTTCTGTTTATAAAAAGTGCAGAGCTCTGCTCAGTTTCCATCACCACAGACTTTCAACGAGCCACACGTGGGATGTATTTTCTAGAGAGGGCCAGCATGTATCATGTAGGTGGCCAATCCAGTTGTGCCTGTTCTTCCTTGGGAGCCTGAATTTGAGAGTTGGCTCCAATGAAAGCTGCAGAGTTTGAGCAACAAGAGTGTCAAACCTCAGGAGAGAAGGTACTGGAACAATGTGACTCCAGGGTGTGGTTCCAGTATCAAGAATTGGAGGGTCTGTGTCACAGGTCTGTTCAAATACATCCCAATACTTTGAATTGGATAGTTTTAGGTTACTATATATACATATATACATACATATATACATATATACATATATATGTCTATCTGTATATATATACATATATACATACATATATACATATATACATATATATGTCTATCTGTATATATATACATATATAAAACTTACTAAAAAAGAAGGTAATTAATGAAGATAATAGATGGAAAACAGTAGGATATATTTCCTGCTCAGAAGAAGAAGGGCCCAGGAGCCAGGTTCCTGCTGAGCTCAGTAGGAGTGGGAGCCAGAGAAAGTTATGTCGGACTGGGCCAATCTGGCCCTACAAGGTGTGCTGTGACCCAGGAATAGAGGCAGGTCAGGGGGACAGGATCTGTCTCTGCAGGGTTTCCTGAGCTCAGCACTTGGAGGAAACACTGTTCTGGCACCCACAGCTCTCTCAGTTGATCAACTCTTTCTGCCAGCTGTTCTGCTGTGAGAAAACTGGACTTCTGAACCTTTTAGCTCTACAGTGCTTGCAAGCGTTTATAAAGCACAGCAAGTCAGGCTGAGTTTCTAAAGGCACTCTGGGTGCAACTCGTATCCCCAAAAGCAGTAGCATGATTTTGCTCAAAGTTTTGAGATGGCAAAATGCTCCCTTTCRTCTTACTCTGAGCAGTGACTGTATCTGATTTTGAGCTGCTTAAGGTGTTCTTAGTATAAAATTCACAAAACATTGCTCACATTTTCGTCACCTGAYGTCCTTGTTATGCTGTACATATACACATTCAATATTTATACCTGTTTGAAATGTAATTTTTAAGCTATATTGATATTGTATTTTATGTATTTTATACATACACATACACATTGTATATACAAATATACAAATATATAGCATATATAATGTATAAATATACCATGTGTGTGTGTAATTTATATATAAACACATTATATATTAAAAATGTATATAAATTATTAAGTTGTGCTGAACAACTTCGGAAGGGAAGCATTGTGAAATTTGCAATTTTACATATTATTATTAAAAAGGGAAACAAATTGTCCTGAAAACCCTTTAATTATCTAAAGTAGTTGGTGTTACTAGTTAATTAACTAGAATAGTTAGTGTTATCTAGAGTAGTTAGTAATGAATTAAAAAAAGCAAAGTGGAAAAGAAATCTGAGTTGCTCTGTTTTTCTGCTATGATTTTAGAGAAGTAGAACTGGCTCACCAACAACTTTATTTAAACTAGCTACACCAGATTTCTCTTTGAGGAGATCATCAAGGCTATCAGCTACCCTGTCACCAAGTCCTAGCCCTCAAAAGGATAATGATTCTAGCAGTAAAAAGAGGTGGGTACAAAAGCTGTTTGTGCCTCTTTCTGTACCTCAGATATTTATGAAATGCTTTTGGATCATTCTGTTTTGATGAACATGTTTGTTTAGCGCAGTGCTGTTTATATGTTGTTTAGTACAGCTTGCTGAAGCATAGTTATGCTATAGACTGCTTGCTTGGGAGATTTCTTCCTGGTAGAATAATTTGTGTACTATTCAATGTGCTATTTTACCTGATTCACACCCCGTCTTAGTTTTTATTTTATAARCAGTTCTAGTCTTTCACCAAGTAGGTATTGAACATCTTTCTTTGTGGTTCTAGGCCAAAATCAGTAAGCAGTGACATAATTCGTGGCTTAGCTTTGGATGAGATTGCAGACTCAGAATACAAGGGTGGTAGAAAATACACCTATGCTGAATTGCTCCAAGTAAGTAGCACTTAAAGATTTTATGTGTCTTGAATGACGGGTTAAAACTTTTTATTCTGTAGTATTAAAGGGAATATATTAAAGTCAATGACTTCTGTAAATTGGTTTCATTATGAAAATGTCATTGCCTTGTACAGAGATGTAATTAAAATGTCAGAAAATTCTGTGTGGTATCTGTCATCTACTTGATAAGAAATCATAGCATGTACAGAGGTTTATTTTCACTAGAAAGTGTTGATCTTTTCCATGGTGACCATGCGCTCAGTGGGCTATTGTGGAAAGTCATTGGATGAACGCTTCACTGGAATGATTGCCTAGGAAAGTATACCAGGCTTACAGTGTAASTAAGAGCTGAATCTGGCCTAGAAAGTCATTAAAATAGTAAAAATCATAAGAGGAAAATGTATCAGTTGTAAAATTCCTCTTTACTGCTTGCATACTCAATTCTTTGGTTTGTTGAATTATTGCCTGCTAAGCAAGCTTTCGATCCAGAAAACCTCAGGAGGGACAGGCTGCACAGAAGACTCTTTTCTTAATAACTCTTAAAAGGTGACAAATAGAGCATGTGGGATGTCAAGATTTGGCAATTTAAAATAYATCCCAAACTTTTCATGTCTGTGGAATGTTCCTGAAACAGCTTGCTGTTTTAGAGATATTGATACCCATGGTCTCACAACTCAAAAAGCATACTATGAAATTTGAGCTTGCTTCCACATACGTGGACTAGGTTGATCTGTTGAGCACATCATTGCTTTTTTCACATCAAAACCATTCTTTGCTTATTACTTCACTGAAATAATTTTCTTTTGCTGTGGCTGTTGTTAATTTTAACTGAAGAGAAGTTTCTTACTGTAATTAGGGGAAATTTATAGTTGGAAACTTATATTGAGGAAATGTTCACAACATGAACATGAGCTTTTATACATCTTCATCATGTAGAGTTTATCTGTGGCTGATAGGAGSAAAATACTATTCTCTTACACCTATAGGGCTGAATAGGAACCTACAAACAAGACCCTACATTTCGCTACCCCAATATGATATAGAGGAAAATGTGGGTTTSTGTAGTTTAATGTCATATGGGGAAGTGGCATCTTCCTGCTCTGTATCAGAGGCCTGGCTTCCTCCCRTCCTTTTTCATTCTCACTATTTGGAAAGAAGCTGGTTGTTGGCCACCATGCTCACCTGTTCTTGCTTCTACCACCACCAACAGCCAGCTTGACTTCTTTGGGATCATCAAAAGCTAAATTATTCTGTTGCAAACTCCTCTGGCTTCTGTGTTAGTTTTGAAAAAAATGGATATATTCTTCCTCAAATGCTTCTAGTAGAAGGCACAGGTCAGTAGAGGGCAGAGATTTCCTGTCCCTAACATGTTCATGATTTTGATGCTGACTTCAATGGTGTAACTCCAAGAGAAGTAGCTTTTGTTCCATGATAACTGATTGCTCTGAGGCTTGAACCAAAAGTTGCCTTTAAACTGTTAGTTTAAAATGTATGTTAGTTTAAAATGCAGTAGCCTGAACGAAGGCAACTTTTGATGGTAGGCTACAGTGCTAAGCAACTCAGTTTACTATCCTGGGCATTACTGGTTCAGAGCTAAGGAGATAATGATGGAAAAAATACTAGGATTGCTTTCCTGTTTCAAGTATCGAGGAACCACCTAGGGCTAGTGTGGTCATTTTGCTATTCTATATGCCTTCAGTCATCAGATTTATTTCACCAAACACGAATATTTAGTGGGAAAATAGTATGGAGCGTTATGATCAACTGCATATGTAGTAGAAAATGGAGCCTGGTTTCCTGGGATGAAGATACTAATTGAACACACTGCATGACCCTCCATTGCAATGTACTGACATTTGAAAATAATGAAAGCCTGTTATTCCTTGTTGTATAATTATATTTTATTTCCCCAGGGGAAAAGTGCTGCTGGCAGTGCTGTCCTAGGGGGACCAAGAATGGAAAGCATGCTGCAGTCTCTTTATTTGGAGAACAGAGCAGGCTACTACTTCACACACTTCTGCGAGAAGTCAGGGAATAAGGTATGAGCATTTTCCTACCCTGTGATAATTTAGTGACTCAGTGCCAAGTTATAGAGGGCAGCCAGGCTGAAAAAATAATTGGAGAAAGAAAGATTGATGACTGGATGAATTATTACTTGTGAGACTACAATCCCTCAACAACAATAAACTGTTCGTGTGTATATTGAAACTAATGACAGGTCTTAACCAAACTGTCAGATCCTAACTGTCTCAGACCTATTGGAAATCTGATTGTACCATCAGGGATAAAAAAAGACTAATCATTTTTAGAAACTAGCCTTTAACTTGGCAGAAAAAATGAGGTCTTAACCCACAAAAACATTTTTAAAAAAGATGGAAAATCTGCTATGCTATTACTCATGATAATCTGCCTCCTTCTTACTCGCTGGGCTAGTGATATCCAAAATCTCCAATGTTTTAAGAACGTTCTTCTGCTTCCACGAAGCTTCTTGGATTTCTGAGAAACATAACACTATTTCTTCTCTGCAGTCAGCAGACTCATCATTCATTGCTGGGTGTAAACTGAGGATTGGTTGGAACAAGTGATCAATCTGAGTCAGTGTTTAGTGGCTTTGCAGAAACATTGAGTCTTTACCGGCGATTTCAATGCAATCAAGATGGACATCTGTTCCACTGCTGGCACAGCCCAGAATCCAGCAGCAGTAGCTAGAAATGCCTTTGGCTACCAGAAGGCAAGAGCCAGTATTTCCAAAGCTTAATACCTTAAGCTGAAAATATTAAGTGTATTAGAACCTTTATAGAACCTATAAAGAAACCTTTATAAAAATAGGTTAAATGGGTGTAAGTTGAAACACAGGAAGTTCTGTCTCCAGGTGAGGAGGAACTTCTTCACTGTGAGGGTCACAGAGCCCTGGCACAGGCTGCCCAGGGAGGTTGTGGAGTCTCCTTTGGAATCTTCAAAATCCTATGCCCCATGGTCTGGTTGTCCCTGCTGGAGCAGGGGGTCGGACTAGATCTCTAGAGATCCCTTCCAACCTCAACCATCCTGTGATTATGTGAAAAGTAGCTTTTTTTTTTTTTTTTTTTTTTTTTTTTTTGGTGGGAGATAAGTACCTACATGCTGTCTGGTATTTACAAGTGTCAAGCTCCTTAGAAGACTGTTTTTTTTAGGTGTTGCCTACACCCGTGGAACCTGTTTCAYTCATCTGCTAGGTCTGACAGGCTACAGTTTGTGGTGCAAAGTTCCTCACACTTATCTTTTTGGAATGCCCTCTTCTAGTGTCCAGTAATGGGCCTTTCGGCACATTTGTAAGATCCACACCCCATAAGTACGTGATTAAAATAACAGGGTTAAGGAAAAGATCTAGGCCCCTTCTTCTGAAAGATCTTTTGATGTTTATTTGAAATTACGAAGTGGGGCCAAGATTCTGTGCCTCAGAAATGTATATAATAAAATCGTAATGATAGTCACGGTAACATATGTCAAGTACATGGTATTTAATTGTTTTGATTATTGCTGTTCTAGCATGGCACAAATTCTGCATGTCCATTATCAGCATTTCTTCCTAAGTGTTGGCTTTATGCCATTGAAATGTGGTTACTCTTCAAATGTTAACAACAATGTTAACAATTTTAATGGCAAATTATGCACAAAGGATACAATAAAAGATAGAGTATTACAGTGACAATGCCATTAAAAATGTTGTCCTTCTGCCAGTATGCAACAGAAAATTAAATCCATCTAAAATTGAGCTTGATTTATGGTTACCCCAAGGAGCTAAATAATTACTTGCACTGGTAACTCAACCTCCTATAAAGTCCTGATATTTGTGTAGCAGAAACTTACTTTTTTTTTTCCCCTTTTCATTTGTAGTTGTGGGAGAACAGTGCGTACTTTTGGTTTGACCTACAGGCTTATCATCAGCTTTTTTACCAAGAAACTCTTCATCCTTTTAAAATATGCAAGCAAGCTCAAGTAAGTTGTAAATAATGTGTTTTCCTTTCACAAATACATTTGTTCAGTGTAAGACTGAAGAGAAGACAGGAGGTGGAAAGGCTTCCAAATCTTGACAACTAACACCAAAGTAAATCTGGGTTGTGGACAATAAAAGAAGCTCTTTGGATTGTTACCATGGAATTTCTTGATTTAAATGTGAAACATGCAGATTTGATTTCTAGGCTCTGCTGTCTGTTCCCAGTTTTATCTGTTATGTTCAGTTTACCTAGTCTCCCCTTTGCTAGTCTGTACTGAATTTGGAAACTGTCTGTTTAGTGTTAATGTTAGCGATAGAATTTTTTATAAAGAAGCTAATAGTACTGTACCTTTCTTTCCATATTCTGTGYGGGTTAGAATGGCAAGTCTTGCAGCCCAGATCTCAGATAGTGACCTTAGCCATGGAAAAGGAAGTTATCAGTCCTGGTTTTCCTTTCCTGAGTGTCAAGGTGTCATTATTCTCCTTACACAATTTCTCCCCTCTACTTGATCTTTAGTCTCTCATTTACTGTCAAGGAGCTGATATTGCCTATAAATAACTGCTCTTAACTGAGTATGCACTTTAAGTCTTGCTACAGAGTAAGAATAAACTTATTTACCACAGGCCATGAGTGCTGATAGCCATGGCTGACTGCAGACCAGTAGGATGCTGCCAGGAAGGAGGCTGCAGCAGTGTGATATCACTTGAAGCATTCCAAGTAACTTTTAAAACAATTTTTTTGGGAAACTTTGGTCTATTTTCCTSTCTAAGCCTGGTGTAGGAGTATATCCTATCTGCATATTTGAATATATGTTGTAATAGAGCAAAGTTGCTTCACATGTCCTTGGAAYAAACGTCTGTACAAGGGTGCAGAATAGTCCCTTTGTATGGCTAAGGTTGTTGAGCATCTGGACTTCCTTGAATTTGTCTTTTGTTTTTCAGCTTGAAAGTTTCACTAGGGCAAATGACAGAATTCTGCGTATTTCTCCAGAGTTCCCACCTGAATCACTGTTAGTTATTTGGAAACTCTAAACACAGATTGAGGCACAGATTCCTTCCTCTCTCTCATCACATACTGGCTAACTTGAACTGCTGTCATTTATTTCTCCCACTCTACTTATGGCCTGATGCTAAGGGCATAAGGCTTTGAAGGCTGTCCTCGTGTTAATCCCTAAAACTGCTTGTTTTGCCTCAGTATCTGCCCAGTATATGTGCATGGTGAGCCAGTTCACATCAGGTATGTAGGCTTATTGCCTCCCCCACACTCCTCCAGCTCTGTCACAACATTTACTTAAGAAGCTGGAGCAGCACTTTGAAGCAGCCTGGCCTTCTTCTCCCAGTCCTTGCATCTTCAGAGCTGAGCCTCTGAGCTTGCTGCACACTTAACTAGATAGTCTTTTGGGAACCTTGGCGGGGAATGCTCTTCTGGGAGAAGTCTGGGTTATGTGATTTATTTGTCTGTTTTCCAAAGTCTTAAAACATCTTTGCGACACAATAATTTTAAAATGTTATGAGGAAAAACACTAACAGTAAAAAAGAAAAGCAAAGATGCTAATAACTAAGTAGTCAGTGTTGCTGCTCGTGTCTGTTCCCTATAATGACCCTTAAGGTTCCACTCCAGAAGTGAATCCTTGCATGGTGTTCTGCTCCAGAGACAGCATCGTATTCGGTTAACCTGCAGATAAAGGGAAACTGTTAAGACGTTGCCCAGTTGTGACAATTCAGTCCTGTTCCTGGACCAAGAAATGGGAGATTCAACAGCAGCTTAGGTGAATCCCGTTTTTCATTAAGGAAAGTTATGCTAACTTGCATTTAATGTGGCATTAGCAAGCTTAATTAGCTAGCTTAATTAAGTAAGCCAGCTTGCTTAATGCTTGGTAATCAGAGAGTTAGGGTATAGCAGAGATATTCTGTGTAAAGCCAAAAACATGATAAATTTCTCTTTATTTAAACCAAACCTAAACTGTCTTCATGTGCTTTTTATTGTAGACTGAATCTTAGGATTTGATCCATGACAGTTTAAAATGATGTTCTTTTAATTTGTTTTAATTTTACACCCAGCTTTGCACTCTTTTTTTCTTTTTCTTTTTTTTTTTTTTTTCCCCCCAGTGGTTGCATGACTGAAAATTAAGGCTGTTGTCTTTTTTATTTTTCTTATCTTATTTCCAGTGCTGGCCTGGTGGTGACAGCAGAACATCACACAATAAGGGTTACCAGGCAATTGTAGAGGGCTACATACACATAGCCATTAAAGTAAATACATCAAAACGAAATATGTGAAACTGTTCCATTAGCATAACTAACAGCTGAAATGTAACATAGCAAATCAACACATGTGCTGCAACATTTGGTATCATTCTCAAGTTTGCCTTTTAAGGCTTCACAAAAATTATTCTTGTTTTCACTGGAACAGTTAAGAGTCAAGCTGCGTCCAATCTACAGGGTCTGCTTATAGAAAAGATGCCTTCCCAAAATCTGTGCTCACCTTTGGCACAAAAAGACAGTTATTCCAAGTACTCCTAAGAGAATGCAGATCAGATTCTACTAGTACATCGTCATATATATTCTACTATTTATTACAGAAACAGACATGCAAAGTATTTTGTATGTGTTCTGCCTGTTTCCTGTTAGAAACAAGAACGACCTCTGACTGCTGTGTTTCTGCTACTCAGTAATTCATTTGCGAGGTATTTTTTRTCTCAGTTTTATGACAGAATAAGGAAGTGCATTCTGAGGTGTATRTTCATTCATATGGCGGTGGAAAAAAAAATCAAAACAAAAAGCTATAGCGAGAATGAAATCTGATGCAGAAGAAAAATGATGGGTRCCAGTAATCATCTAAGAATGTAGTGGTTATTCATTATAAACATACACACGGGAGTGTAAAATAACTCGAGAAAGAAAAAGAAAAAAGAAACACATGTCGTATGTTGCAATGAAAAATAGTTACTTAGAATTAGAAATTTTGATATATTTATGAGAAGTACAATATTTTAACACTAGAGCCAATTTAGATAAAGGGAGCAATCATTACTGTGAACTTGTAGGGTCAAACCYAAGATTTATGTTAGTGGAAAGTCATGGAAGGGATTAAGGTGGTTTAGCCTTTCCATTTAAGACCAGCCAGTGCATTACAGTCTTCATATCATACAATTTGGTCAGGCAGCTGCAGAATCCCTTCATTTAGAACAGAGTGAAATCCAGGTCCATGGGCAGCTCTGCAAATCACTTAAACTTAATTATTTTTGTTGTTTTTTTCTTCACCCTAGTCATTCTGAGATTGCTTATCGAAGTCTTTATATCTAGGGATGAATTCACATCAAAATCCAAGACATGAAAAAGCCCCAATTTGGAAATTCATAAACCAGAGCAAAATGTTAATCTGTATTTTCCAAGCATTTGGTGCCTTCAGATTTGTTTCATCATAAGCAATTTCAAGACACAAACTCTGACTGAATGTCCATATCTGGGTTTAAGTTTGGGTATATCATTTATTCTAATACATTTATAGGAAAATACATAGCTGAACAGATAGGATTTTTTTTTCTGTGTGCTACAAAAGGAAGAAAATATTGACTAAATGAAGCATTATGTGCATGTCATGTCATATGTATAAAATATTTGTGTGATTTTTACAGTCTTTAATGTGATTTTTTCTTTTTTCTGTTGGTCCTTTAGGACACTGGCCAATACTAAAGTTTCACTATTACACTGAGAATCAGAAAACCACAAAAATTCCAAAACATGCGAGTTAGACCGTGATTAATGAAAAGACTATGAATATTCTTTTTAAAAGGATACAATGTGTTCTTCTCTAAATCTCCCTGACTTTTGCCCAGCACTGAAGGTTGTGAACACATCCTCTTTCTTCCTTTTTTAGCATGTCTAGAATTCAGAACTGTTGGTCTTCACACAGTCCTTGCATTCAACTCAACGCAGATCTGTAGCTCTACCTGAACTTGGGGCTGGGAGCTCCTTCCCTTCTCACCCGAAACATCTGCAAGTGCATTCAGTCACTTGGCCACTCTGTGATGCTGTTTTTAGTACAGTGTCAAGTCCCATAACAATAGACTGAAGAATTTAAGGAGAAAGAAGATGGCATCATGCCCAATCCTTAGAGAATACCAATCTGCACCCTTTAAAGATGAAGAAGTCTATACAGCAGTGATGGATCTGGTCCTTTGAGTTTGGAAAAGTGCAACTTTTCCAACTCTAATTCTYCTCTAATAACTCTTCTAACTAATTCATCTGCCTTTAAATTTCTACTTGATGTGTGTGTTGCCAGCCCAAACTCTTATTGCTTATGGAAAAGAAATAGTCTGTTTTTATTATTTCCTTTGTTATGTCCTAGTGTCACATCTGAAATTAAAAGCTATAGAAGGGCAGTCTGCAGGTAGAGAAGCCTGCAAAGGCAGACCCTAACACAGTAATATACTATCACAGGACTGATATGAGCAGATTGTCAACAGTTTGGGTCAAAGCCTCTTAATCTGGGTAATTTCTGTTCCTGTAGACTGATTTTGTCAGCTATAAAGAAGAGTCGAAAAACACATTCGAGTTAATCCATTTCATGCAAAAATTCTAACAAGGGAAATAGGTTTTCCTTCCAAGGAAGATGTGGAGCTTTAATTCTGATTTTCTTTCCTTAAAATTGTGTTAAAGACAAACAGTCATTTAAGTAAACAGTTTAAATGTATGTTGAAATACTGAAGATCTATTTTGGCCCCTTTTCAGCAATTTATAGATCCCTTGTGTGGTTCTATGAGTCATAACAGGTGGGCTAATGTAGCCCTAATGCTAAGTAAGTTCATCAACCACTCCTTAAAAAGGCTATTTTTAGAGATACTAGATCTTTATATTGCTGAAATGTTTCTTTCTTATTTGGCTATGTTTTATGTTAAACATTTTGGATCAGATTAAAAGATGACACAACTGAAACTTTATTGGTTGTAAGGTTCTTCCTAATAACTTCCAAGGTTTGACATCACTAGGAATGTAATTAATGCTGTCTCTGCTAAATTTCAATTCATTTTGGGATTTTCTGAGAAAGGCATTTGTGAGGACAAATGTGATCTTGTTCTTCAGCTAAAACTCTCACAGCCATGATCTATCTCCTTGACCTCACCCTTACACCTGGTGGTCTTTACTAGGCTAACTTGTGAGTCATAATAGCCTCAAACCATTTCAGTTTCAGTGATTCTGTCATTGTAGAGAGGGGGTGGAACCTGCATAGCCAGGAAATATCCTAATTATCAGAAGCTCTTGCTGGAGGATGTGAGCTGCCACAGGTCCATGTTCCTCCGTGACGTATCATCAGGAGAGGGCAAAGGATCTATTTTCAATGGCTGAGGACCGAACCATTGCAGATGTAGTTTGGTGCTGTTTGAAAGACASAGTCTAGTAAATCAGAATATGATGTAAAGCAAATAGAAGTGTAATTATTTAATGTACTTATTTTTTTTATCCAACTGTGCTAGAACGGTTATAAACATACACATGAGTATAAAACAAACAGTTGTAAACATACATTAATATGACAGTACTATTACTTGAAAACAGAGCAGATAKGCTGCTTCTCTCTACTGCTTTGATTGTCTGCTAGTTAGGGAAGGATTTTAGTCACCCTAATTCACTGAGAGAACAGCTGATGGACTCACCAGCTGGAGCGAATTGGTGCCACCTCTCAAAGAAATTCTGATTTACACTAAGAGTCTGATCTCCAAGACTGACTCTGTCTTGAGAATTAGCTGGACTTTGATGATGTAAAAAAGGGAAAACATTTAAAAGTATGTGAATTTTATTATGGCAGTATTTTTTTTTCCTTGATTTCCTAGCTGCAGTCAGAGTAAAAGATATTCTTAAAATTGTTCCTATTCCATTTTTTTCTGACTTTTCAACATTCCATTATATAACAATTTGTGAAACATTGAGAGAAAAAAAGCTGAATTTGATTTGGGTGACTTTGAAAAAAAATCTTTCTTCAAAATAAATTTTAAAAATGTCTCTGCTTCAAGCATGAGTCAGTAGTGGAAATGGAACATAGTAAGTTCAGTTTTTCTCTCTTTTTATATGTTTGAAAGACTGCGATAAATCTGGTTATGATTTATACCCCAGTTCTACACTGGTATCTCCTATTATGGATCTTGTACCATACTGGAGTGCCACCAGTGTCCAAGGCAAGACAGTGTCAACACAGATTGACATCTTCTTGTTTTCATTAATTTTAATCTAAAAATTACAAATTCCAATCTATTGTTAATTCAAACAGAAAAAGTAAGAATCATGTACAAGTTGGCCAGGCATATATTTTGTAGGAGTTACATTCAATCTTATTGAATGTAACTAATAATCAAACAAATATCTCTCTCCATGCAAAGTTTACACTGTGCATTATTTTGCAATCTAACCATTTTAACAAATGGGAGTAAAAAYGGCAGGGAACTCAGTAGTTACTGAATTTTAGACAAAATAGTAACATAGATAAAAACAAGATAGGTGTGATTAGATGTCTATCTAGAATATATAAAGGACTGTGAGTGACAAGTATATAGCAAGTCTCTCTGGTAGACTGTGATCATTAGAATGGATAATGATTAAGAAATACTTTTTTTCTCCCTCCCTTTTACTGTAGTTTCTTTATGCAACTTACATTGCTCCATCTGCCACTATGGACATTGGACTCCGTCAGAATAAGAAATATGAGATTTATAAGAATATTGACCCAGCTTTTGAGGATCTTTTTGACCCAGCAGAAGAATACATTCTCACTCTCCTGCTAGAACCGTGGATGAAGATGGTAGAAGAAGACAGATGCACTTATGAAAAGGTAACTAATCTGGAGGACACTGTGAAGGATTCTTATGTCTGGGGAAGAAAAAATACAAAAGCCTTCCTATAGCCTCTGCTCAGTCCCACCTATAAGTCCATTGCATTTTCAGTCAGGAAGAGAGAAATATTGCAGGCTGTTTTGCTCCTTCCCTCCCTTCTATGCTGATCCACAGACAGTCTGGCTTCATCACGAGAGCARACCTCTCCAAAAGGATGATGCAGGTCTGCAAATTAGGGAGGAATGTATCTTGCTAGGGCAAAATTTCTCTTTGCACTCAGGGAGTGTCATGTTTCTGCAATCACGCTGTTGATTAGAAGTCATTTCTTGCCATGGATAGCCCAAGAGCCTTTTGTGTTTCCAATGATTAGCAGAAAAGAAGTAGGTTTCTAGAGTGTCAATAGTGTGATAGGGTCCACAGTTAACTGTATTTCTTGGTGTTCAGAATTAAAAGGCAGCTTAGGAGGGAATCACATACTGTGACCCAACTGTATTTGCCCCAAATACTGTTTTTAGATAGCTGCCAGACTGTGGAAGGGCTAACTGGGCTCTGCAGGCTCCTGAAATAGGTGGGTCAGTGGCATGTGTGGGTCTACAGAGAGTCTGCTGAAGGTTTGGGCTGAGCAGGTGCATGCAGCTAGAGGGGAAGGCTGCAATTCTCACTTTGCTTTTCACAAATCAGAATAAGAAATAGCTCAGGTGCTGGGGAAGGGCAGTGGGTAATGTGGCTTTCTGCTGCCTGTAAACTTATGACTGTAAGGAAAAATGCTGCTTACAGATCCTTAAACTCTCTCTTTTGTATATGGAAGCTTCTTGCAAAGGAGAACCAGGAGTTGGAGGACAGTAAGTTATTTCTTGTTTTCCATTTCTTTCACTGTGATCTAAGGTGTGAAACATCTTTGCTTGCGGAGGGAGCAGCGTCATGTGCTTCTGGTACATCTGTCAGTGTGTCGTGGGARCATACACTCATTACTGCCTGCAAAGTGTGTTAAGATCCTTCCATGGAAGTTTTGTAGCATAATGGGTTATTTTTGCTTCTGCTAGGATATTGTCCATATATATGTCCATATATATTGTCCATATATAGACAGAACAGCAATGCAAATTCAAAACTGTGAACGGCCTTTTAGGCCTATTAGGTGGTGACTGGCACTAGATCTGTAAGGGCAGAATATGAGAGCAGGACAAACATGAAGCAATATTGCCAACTTCCAGCACTTTGCAGCTAAGGCAGTTCAGGAAATAGAGGTTTTATCTATTTCTCTGTTTGCGTGTTTTAATAGTTTTTAATGACCCTTCCCTTGCCATGAAGTTATATAATGCTTTCTGAGATGTTTTATATTTACAGCCTCAATATAGCAATGACTTCCACAGGAGCTGGTGAGAAGAATGCTTAGTTAGGGTTTGTTTTTAAACTTCTTGATAATTTTGTCGGATGCCCCAATTTTATGTTATAACCAGTGGCACAGAGAAACAATGAACACTTGTTACTAGTCACATTCTCAGTGTCATTCCTGTTTTTATGTTTCTGTTTTATCCCACTTCAATTAATTCTCTTGGAAACTAAAGAATCCCTGACTATTTAACCTCCCATTTGACCTTTAGTTTCCTTGTCTCTGTTATACACTWTATGTGTTATATTCTGCATGTGTTTTACATTCTTTTGACCAAATGCAAGCAGTACCAAAGATATGGATGCAGGACRGACTATTCAGTGGCATAATGATGTTTTCCCTTTTTCACTGTATTCCTTTCCTAACTATTCCTACCAGTCTAACTGCCATTTGACTCCTGGTGAACTTTGAGTGCACGTGCAAAATGGAAGCAAATAGCCATCTGCAATGACTCCGAGATCTTTTTACTGAGTAAAACAGCTCATGTAAGGCTCTAATTTGGAGCCCATTTGAATTACTTAATGTTTATTGTAGTTGAATTTAGCTGGCCTTATCATGCAGACGCTAAGTATCCTGCAGCGCTTCACAGTCAATTTAGTTTTTTGCTCTGTGGGACTGCTCTGCAAACGTTTTTCTCTTCTCACTCACCTCCTTTTCCAGATAATTTCTGAATGCGCTTAAAAAACAACCCCAGCACAGATTCCTGGGAGACTCCAAAAGGAACCGCACCCCATTATGAAAGCTATGCATTTATTTATGGCTTTTTTTTTTAATTAATTCACAAGGGATCTTCTGTGTCATCCTGTGATAACTTAATTTCCTTATGAAACTTCAAAAGTTTGAACACTGTTAAAATTTTCAGAATGATACATGTTAATCCAAACATATTTGTGCCATATTCTCTTCTGAAGTTTTTAGTCTCTTTTCATCTGAGAAAGCCACTTCAAATACAATTGCTTATGAGCCCTAAAATACCATGTAATGGGTTGACATTTTCATTAATATGAAATTTTATTTACTTTCTGCCAAATTACTGTTACTATAACCTCTTGTAAATATTTTTCAATATATATAAAGAATACTATGTCATCTAATATCTGTTGCAAATGCTCATTGAGTYGCTTCATCTGATCGGCTGCTTCTGAATGCTCTTTAAGTAAATAATTTTTACTGTTTCTGGTAATGGGAGAACTCCTTGCAAATAAAAATTTAAATTATAAAGTCTTGTTTTATGTTAATTTAATGCTTGTGTCAGGTTATATCTCCTGAAGTTAACTGAASGAGTACTGCCCTTTCACTTTAGATGATGATTTGCAAGGGTTCAGTTACGTGCAGGCTTCAATACCCTGCAAACACAAACTTCTTAATCAGAGCATGCAGAATAGAACAAGATCCTTTTGAATACACAATATATTTGATTGTGAAGAGTTATTTTACACGGACATAGAATGACCTGCACTATGAGGCAGGAGCCTCTTTTCTGAGGAACGTCGTGTTGCAGGATGCATTAGGCACTCTTCTGAGCACGGAGAGCAGGTCTGCACTGTGTTTTGTCCCTGCCTCTGCTCTCCTGCTTTTTTCTCTCCTACAGCAGCATATATTCAGCCTATAGTGAAACGAGATATTTTATTAAGAATTAGGTGAGTGCAAAATTGTTTATTTGGGACATAGTATGTATCTACATTTTTATCTTTAAGCAAAATATGAMAACAGGGGAGTTGTTTATTATTGACTCTCGTCATGCTTTTATCTATACTCTGTTTAAAGTTTGTGAAAAATGCTCTGAATTRTTTTTGTATTTCCTTTTAAACTACATTTTATTTAAATGAAAGAATTCCCCAAAGCTCCGAAGAACAGTGGAAGAGAGTTACACTAGCCTGAAGGCATTCAGATAGCACKGTGATTAGTGTGCTATTTACACAAAAGCACAATGGATATCAATCTAAAAACTCTCTTCTCTATTTTGCACATAAATTCTTGTGTACTTTCTAATCTTTGTAAAGGGATTGCTAATCAGGATGCTAATTGATTCATTTTTGCTAAATATCCTAACCCTTCATTTGAAAGGGTTGGTTGTCTCAGAGGTTCACCAAACTATCTTTTATGCATCTAATCAACTATTTGCACATAACATGAAAAATGAATCAGGTTATATGCATACTGCTTCTAATTAAATTTAAAAAATGTCATGAGTTCCTACCATGCAGAATTTATTATATTAAGACATTAACTGATACAAAACTGAGGGAGAGATCGTGACTGAGAATCTGAAAGTTTTCACTTTAATTGTTTATACGTTCTAGTAAGGCGTCTTCCTTGTCTCAAATTGTATTTCTGAAAATACGTGGCACCCTATCTTGTGTCACTTCCCACTGAGGAATAGTTTCAAGACCTGGAATTTGTGTATACCTTTCAAGGGATAGTTTCAAGACCTGGAATTTTGCCTCACTATGGCACTGGAGATAGGCACACATAAAATGTGAGGTGGGCCTGGCATGCTTGATCACATTATAAATAATTTTTTTTATTACAATGTTCATCCCTTAAAGATGCAACTAGACTATTCAGATGTATTCTATAGAGCTTCACATGTGATTCTGCACAGATTTAAAATCAAATTTTGTTCTACCAGAGCTTTTAATTGATTCATCTGTCACAGGGATGTGACTTCAAGTGTCTTCTAAACATCTGTCTCATTACTGGCAAATGCATTCCTTTTTTATCCACTGTCATTGGCAAGTTGCCTGCCCAGTTCTCCATCTTTCTATAACGTGTACTGTGCAGATGACATAAGATATTATTTTTATTAGGTGGAGCTGGTGGAAGAAACTCGACAGCTGGACTCCGTGTACTTTAGAAAGCTCCAGGCTTTGCATCAGGAGAGTGTTTCCAAGAAGGATGAGGTAACACAAGTACCTATTAACAAAAACAAACTCTTTTTCTATCAGAGAGGGTTAACACTTTGAGTATCAGCAATGAGAGAGTGTCTGCATGCCAGTTTGGAGAAGCGAAACGTCTGATTTCCACTATTCATTTTGTGGAATGATTGAAAGCCACCATTATGTTAATTGTGAATTTAGTTCTTCTGTCAGTTGCATCAATATCAGATCATTTTATGGTTGGAGTTGATGGGATAGTTTCCATTAAAGTCTGTGGAATGTATTTTCAGCCCTTAATCTTGAATAAATTCCTCAATTTCAAGTAAATTACAGTTATGTATTGGTTTATTTGATTATGGAAACGGCACCGTCTGATACGTTTAAGAAAACATAAAAATAAAGCTAATAAAGAAGAGGAGCATTAACACAATTTATTTTCTCAGCAATCTCAGAGCTGTTCTATGGAGACAGAAGTAATCTAATGTAGAATTATGAGACAGAACAAAATATACAGACAAAGAAATTAGTTATGCAAGTGAAATAATTTCTTTTACCAGAGTCCTGCAGCTGACACTGGTCTGCCAACTAGTCCTGATGTTCTCCAAAAAGATGAGCACTTGTATCAAGTTCCCCAAGAGCTGGCAGGTCCTAATCTGTATGACTTGATCCACGACAAACTGAAGTTAGAACAGTTTCGTGTTTTTCTTGATGAGCGTTCTGCTGGGTACGTTTTTTCATTATTTTACTCGTTTCTTCAGAAGAAATCTTTGCTGCTAATTTGGGTTATCTGCATCCTCCTGAATTTTGGGCATTTTTAATGCTCATCTGTATTTTGAAATACACATGCACATTTTTTTAGACCAATGAATTGTCGTAACTATTTTTATAAAAAGTGTCCTCTTATACAGTGATTTTCAGCCAGTCAACATTCAGTTTCTGCTATAATTAGTGGCAAACATCTGATAACAGCAACTAGCCTGTTCTGAGTAAAAGTTTATCCTTTTAGTGCAGTTTGAATTTGGTGTATTTTAAAAATTAAAGCTGGATGTTTCAAAAATGTACTAATAGAACACATTATTCTCACAGTGTGAGAGCAACCGCAGTTTTGTGTTTGCACTGAACAGAATTAAATTCCAGCTCACAGAACATAAAATTTATGTAGTGGTTTTGAATAGCTGAGCCCTCTTAATATTAAAAAAAAAAAAAAAAAGGCAAGTTCTAGTAGAAGTAAATGCAAATTTGTAACTACATTTTTTTTCTGTAGCCTCACACTAATCCCTGTTTTGTGAAATGTGAAATGTTACTGGATAAATAACTGCTAGCAAGTCCTTTAATTGTTACCTCCTTTAACTCAGGTTCCCCTGAACTGATAATTTTCATACTTTTATCACTTCTATATCGCTACTATTTTAGATTTGATGTTGGGCGGGTTTTTCAAAGACGTCCAGAGGGGGATATCTAGCACAGGGTCTGCTGGTCAAGCCTGCATGCTTATCTTCATGTTTTCTGCTTATCATCAGAGACTCCTTTTGCATTCAGAGGAGAAAAATAAATGTTTCAGGGCACAACTTTTCTAATTTTGACAGAACATCTAAAAAAGGGTTTGGATGAATCATACCTAAAAATGCATATTTATCTTCATTGATTACAAAAAGCTGTAGGTGATGAGCACAGGTGGAGTTTGCTAAGGTGCAGGTGCCTATAGTTAAATGAGCTTTTTGCCACTGCTGGTTGGAGTTAGCTGTGCAGACTTCCTGTCTAATTGTGCACAGGTGGGAATCACCAGAGACCAGGTCATCTCCTGAGATGGGATCCAGGATGGATACACTGAATAGTCTTTGTGACAACTCCGCTATCACTGTGATCCATAGCTTTTGAAAAAGTCTCCCAAAAGAAGCTTTTTAGTGCTGCATACAGATAGAGTAACTTTGAGGGACAGCTGGCATGCTTCTCTCAAGATGCCTAATGCTACTAAAAGTTGAAGGGATCCTAGAACCAGTGCAGTGCAGAAAATTTTGGCAACAAACAAAAAATGTTTAATTTRCCATGGCTGTTTGGCCAACTCCACAAGTGATGGAGGGCAGATTGTGGAGTACTTGCATGCAAGATCTGTTAAGAAACGTAATCAAGTTCCATTAGRTAATATTTTGTTAAATATATAGGATGTATTCACACACAATTGCAGGACAATTTGTGTTACTCTGTTTTAGTGAGTTATCAGTTTTGCCAGAATAGCTGATTATGCACATGTTCCTGGCTTATTGCATGTCTAAAATAGACCATATTAGATAAGCATTGGTAAGTGGCATAAGATAAAAAACCTTTAAGGTAATATGCTTCTTAAGAGAAAGATGGACACCCTTGGTCATCATGGTTAGATGACACAGGAGGTGACTCCTGTCACAGTAATCACAGTAAATCACAGTAATTTAAATTGCTTGCAAGTGGGTGAACATTCTCACATTTTGACAAACTGGCAAATCAAACTTTTTTTCCCTCTTTGAAATTTTCCAAATACTTATCAACAATTTCAGTCTTAATAGAATTTAAGTCTATAGGAGTTTCAAAAGACCTTTGAAAGGGGGCAGCTGTTCTGAAATCAGTTAGATGCTTTTGAAAGCTTTACTCATAGATTAATACTTCAAAAAAGCCAGTTGTTATTAACAGAATGGAAAGATGAAACTGATTTATCTGAATTTGCTGTTTCATATTTTATACTGCCAATAGAGTAAATATGCTCATTAAAATGGTCACAAAACTTCAAATGGTAAGAAGACACTGTCAGAAAATAGTCATATAAATTAAACTGAAATTTATTCTGTTCAGTTCAATTATTCTGTCATACGGTTATAGAACAAATTCAATATATGTTCCATTAAAGCAAACTCAGATTGATAATATACGCTCAAATTATTATGAATAATGTATAGATCAAGACTTGCATATGGAGATTATTTATCATTTACTATGAGTAATGAAATATGTAGTGGGATCAGTAATTTATGAAAAGGCAGACCACAAAAAGCCCTAGAAACAGAATTCACCATAAATTGTTTTTGTCTGCTTGCCTGTGGACTGACTCACAAGTTCTATCGCTTCACATGGGGTAGGAGAGGGAGATGATTTCAGGGGCTGACATTCCCAGCTGTCATTCCCACAACTTTCTCTGAAGTCCTTTAGCAGAGGAGGCAGAGCAGAGCAGGGGGGTGTCGACTCATCGTTTGGTGACTCTCATCCTGCAAKATCAATTCAATTTCCCTTTCATTTTTCATTGATTCCATGAGCTCTGCATTACGACTCTGAATCACAGTCCCCGCTGGATTTAGTGGCTGTAAATGGAAGAGRTTACTCCTGCCAAGGGTACTCCAGGAGGGACCCTGAGTGAGATMTCTAAGATATATTTTTGACCCATTTTTCAGCAAGTGCTATGGTCTTACGGCCATGGTACCTTGTTATCTAGCAAATAATAGCTGATATAAAATTTCCACACAGTTTGACCTGGTATTTAGGACTTGGACACTTTGTGGCTTTTGGCTAAACTAATAACTCCCTAGAAGGTTGATGAAATTGATTCAATATTGAAAAAAACACTCTGTTTAAATTTGCTCATAGCATGGATCTCAAGTGTTGGCTAGACATTGAACAGTTCAGAAGGATGCTCCACAAGGACAAAGAAAAAAGGGAGGAAAAATCTAAGGACATTAAAAACAAATACCTCAACAAGAAGTACTTCTTCGGACCCAAAAGCCCAGCGACCAAGGAACAGCAAGAAGAGGTACCAGTGAACAAAGTTGTTACAGTTGTCACACTAATAGCTGTCACTGAGATAAGAGTCCATAACCAGTTTTACCCCAACTCTTCCCCAAGCTATCTCAAGTGTTACCTGTATTTTTCACTAAAAGAYTAGTTCTGTTCTGGGGGATCCCTCCTTCCTCTTTGCTCCCAGGAAGATGATCTCTTAAACCCAGATCTGAGGCAACAGCCAGAAGATGAACAGCCCAGCTCAGAAGTGTAAAAAAAATGGCTTTAAGGTAGTTACCTCTTCCAGCTTTCTTTTTAAAGTGTGTACGTAACTAAGTCACAGACAGCAAGTCTGAGCTGTGGTCCTCCAATATATCACGATGCTTAAGAAACTTAGTCACATTGGGGTATTATTTGCTGGAGTCTGTGTTCTATTATAGGTAGGGACAAATGTAATCTGTTCTCTTTTATGAAAAGTACATATGAGCCTTGGGTAAGCATGCATTAAATGCTTTGCTTACAGTTAAGCTCATGCTTTGTTAAATCAAGTATGTAGTGAGATAAAGGACTTGCGGTATGCACAAAAGTTTATGTCATGTGTTTATTGTATTTGGATTGCTTAGCTAATGCGTTCAGGTGGAGGATGGGGACAGATCCTTCATGATCAGGTTTCTCCAGCAATTCTGCTGGAAATTCAGCAGTACGTCCAGAAGAGATTAGAAAAACAATGGTTGCCATTGTTTCTGGCAGAAGAACAACATGAGGCGGATGAAAAAGCAAAGGTATTTTTTTTTCTTTTTTTAACACCTGCAATACTTTCAGACATTGTCTTTTGTTTGCCTCCTAACTTGCTTTTGGGTTGAAATGGTTCAGAGGAAAAACAGCCTGTAACTTGCACTGAACTTAGATCGAAAGAGAAGCCCTAGCATGTACAGATTGAAGCATTTAGCTTGATAACTATGCAAGCAGTTCCTCTGAGGACTTAGCGTGGTTGACAGCATTATTGCTAGATGCTAGATCTGAAGAAGCTGGTGTTGCTCTGCTGCCAGCTAGCCTGCCGGGGCAGAAAGCAAACCTTGGCTGCACACAGGCCATGCACTACAGTGCTGCACTCTCAAGGTGCCTTTCTGTCTCATGCCATGTGTTGCATGTAGAAGTGAGGTGGCTTTGGTRTAGGATTTGCACAAGGGGACGAAAGAGCAAGCAAATGAGCAGACTTCCCACTCTGTACTAYCTCCCTCTCTTACGCTGTCCATGTTCTCCAACTCAGAGCAGCAGAGCCCATAGAAATGACTCTCAATCSTACGAAATTCTGAATTCTGCTGAATTCTGCTACATCTTAACTAGATCAGCTGCTACAAGCCTGGTTTCTTATTGGTTACTTTAAAAAGCTGCCAGGAAACTGGGAACRAGAAGGCTTCCACTCCTGCAGGCTCATTAAAGGCAAGAGACTGGGGAATGGGCTGACATCTGACTTTTTATTTGAGTACCTMTATAGTTGGGATCTCTGTGGGGACATCATCCTGCTGGTGACAGTTGCAAAAAGACTTGATTTTTGCAATCTCACAAGAGCTCTGAAAAGTGAATGTGACTGCAGAGGGATATTTGACAATTCACCAAGCAGACATATGCTGACATTGACTCACAAAAACTTTAAAATGATCACTTTGGTATCAAACTGTTCAAAAAGTTGCCAGATTTGCATATGGCCTGGATCTTTCCCATTGATTCAGAGCACCAAGCAATCTRAGAAGTACAGTTTCTGGTAAACCAAACCATAGTTTTAATACTTTCCCCTAAAGCAAAAATTCCCAAGCGTGTGCTCTTTTTAGCAGAACTCTGCTGTCCAGGCTGCCCTCCCCTGCGAGCCCAGCCACACCACCATGCGACCAGGTTAAGCTGCATCCAGCTCTAGCTAATGCCTCCTCTTGCACCTGCTGTCCTGCATCTGCGGGACGAGTAGCCCCTGCAGTTCGGAAAAATGCTGCATTACAGTCTAATAAGCAGTTTGCAGGAAATACATAATTTTAATGAGATTTTAGTCTTTTTCTAACTCCATTTAAGTCTCGCTGCTTTTTYTCTCTTTCTTACTGCAAATTCAGAGGATGAAAAGGTCCTTTGAAGAACGTACTTTAGAAGAAATGAAACCAGATGACATTCTCCACTTGGCTTCATATTTCACAGTGACCAAACACTCTGGGCATGCTATGTAGTCCTTATTCAGAAAATCTGCCCTTGATTTGAGGGGTATTTTGGCTACAAAGAAACTTGTGGGATCAAGTCTGTGTTTCTGATACAGCTGTCCAAAGGAACTAAAAGCATTTCTTATTTATATATACAAACATTATAGCCCCAAATCTCTTCGCAGTCTCAAGAGTCACTCAGAACAGGGTGGGTAAGGCAAACCAGTGAGAGAGAGCAATTTGCTTGCCATTACCTGTTGTATTCTCTGGCTCCCCGTCTTAATGATCAGATGCTCACTTTATAGTTTAACGACAAGGGTTGGTGTTCAGTTTGGAGCCACAGGTTTCATGTATCAAGAGGCCAAAGAACACGTATCATATCAGCTATTCTACCACTGTGGTCTCAATCATTATGGGGTGAACAATAAACAAGAGTTAGAAAAGACCATGATAATCTTTTATTCAACCATAGATAAGAGACATAGTTGAAGATCTTCTAATCCAGAAGAAGGAGAAGACAACTAGGATGTGGAAGGCAAGTGAAGTTTATTATACCTCTCGTGTCTACAATTTGATTCTTTCCTGTTTGTACCTTGCACTTCCTTTGCAATTCCCTGTTGACAATGTGAGGCTCAAATACAACTCCGGCAAAAGCAGGCCTGGCTTTACTGACTACGATGGACTGATCACACACATTACTGATGAACTTAGTTCCCTGCTGGATGACTGTGACAAATTTCTCTCCTTTTTTGTCTGGAAAGATCATGCCTTAGGAAAAAAAAAAAAAAAAAAAGCCAAATCTCTTGTCCTGGGCCGTGGAGCAATCTTAACCCCTCTCAGAGGGATATTGTACCTTAAGTCACATTTATCTGTATTTTGCATGCAGAAGACTTATTGGGACAAGCTGTTCATTCCAGCATCTGGTAGTTTATTTATTATTGCAAGTGGATTACGTGCAGACACAAGAGGGAATGTAAAGTATGTAGCGGAGTGGGCAGGTTTAATCATATCTTACAGTATCTGTTTCATTTACAATTGTATTTTAATCTTGCAACACAGAGATAATATCARTTTTAAACATCTTAAACCTCTGTAATAATACATTTCATCACATGTTTGCCAGTCTTTTTTTCTCTTGAAGAGCAGTGAACTCTTTGTGATTGCCAACATACAAGTTGTGTACGTTTATTCAGTTGAACTTTTATTGTCTGTTGAAATCAAACAGGAGACCCTGTCGCTAATTATCCATGCAAACCATTAGCTCARAAGGGACCCAAAGTGCATGTGGGTTCTGTTTGTCGGGAAGATGGTAATTTTCCATGTTTTGTTTTAGGGTTGTTGACCCATAAGACAAGCAGTGCTTGTAGATTGGCACAGGGGTGGGAGCAGCACTCTGTGCTTCTCTTTATTAATGTGCCCAGGAATCATTTTTCCCAAAAGTTGCCTAAATCTTGGTCACAGTGATCTTACTATTTTGAATAGAACATGTTTGAGAATTTGGAGGACAGCTGGGAAGATGCTGTTTTATTGTCTATGTTGATGTTAAATGCAGAGGACCCCTTGGACAATCACCTCGTTCTCTCCAGCAAGGACAGGCTCTCCTCACTGTCAGGCTCTGCAGAAGGCTGTGTGCAACTCCTGCTTTTAAGAGAAGCTGCAGAAAGGCTTTCAGTTTGGATTAGATTTTCAGTACTGTCCAAAACAACTGAAAACATTCCTGCCCCATGCTAACCATTGAAGAGCGTTCCATCCCTGCCGGATTTTGAGAATTTTATACCAACGCTACAAGATAGTTTTCATTCATCCATTTGATAGTCTGGCCACATCTCTGCGCAGGATGGCTTGCTCAGGAGGACAAGTCTTTCCAGGTGCCCTGCAAACAGGCAGTCCCTGCACGAGGCATCTCCCTCTGCCACCCTTCCTGGCTGTTTGGTGCTTTGCAGCACCAAAATGACTTTAAACTCTCTTTGACTATTGGTAGTCTCCTCCACAGAGATGAGACTCTGCAGCTTCTGTTGGTGATCATGGCAACACATTTCCAAGCTCATTTTCTTAGCACGGTCCCTGTCAGAAGCATTTTACAACTCCTAGCTATGCGGTTTGTCTGTTCCGTTTGCTTTGTTGTTTGTTTGCAGAAAACTCAAACTGTTCCCTAGAAAAGTAGCCTGTTGCCATAATCAATAACAATAGCTGTTTCCATACTTTATAGTATGTAGTCATATGGTCTAAATCATTGTCAGTCATTTCCTCTCCCATCACGTCTTCCAAAAAATGTTGCCCAAACCAAACTGGAAAAAAAAAAAAATAAAAGAAAGAAAAGAAGGAAGGAAAGAAATGAAACCTTGCCAAATTGTATCGTATCCATGTCATAAACTCATAAACTACTGAAAGTTAGGGTCAGTGCAAAGATAAGAATCATACAGTTTATGCTAGCTAATGCCTTTGTTATTGCTTTTTGAAACAAAGTTTATTTGGTGTATTTATTTCTTCTTTTGACAGCATGTGGACAATAAGTGGGTTTCTTCATCTCGGGAAATAATTGCTTTCCGCAAAGCGCTGTTGAATCCAGTGACAGCAAATCAGTTTCAACGCTTTGTGTCCCTGAAAGGAGACCTGCTGGCGAACGGAGTGCTCTTCTGGCAGGAGGTCCAGAAGTATAAGGTAAAATGGACGGAAAGGAACATCATCCAATTTGTAAGCAAATGCATCCATTACTGCACATCAGGGGAATTTTAGCTAGAATATCTCCAAGTATTTTTGTTCATTGTAAAACCGTCACTGTTTAGCTGTTCTTTCTTCCATGAAAACCCTCGCTTCTTGGAGGTGACTGTTTTAAATGACTTGAATGTATTACTGCTGTGTTTTTTCATGCTTCTTCTAACTATAACAGTCTTCCGAGTCTCTAAAGGGATGCTATTAACTAGTTAATGCCCAGATTTTTCTATACATCTGTGGAGCACTTCAAAATGCAATGATCGCACTTAAATCTTCGTTCTCTTTACAGTTTCACACTGTTAAATATAGGGATTATTGCTGGACTTCATAATTCCCCTGAAACCAGAGAGAGCTTTTAAATGCAATGCAAATGCACAAATGAAAAATCAGTTATGCAAAAGTGCATAAATACGGACACCAGCTCCCCTATTCAGCACGGACAGGTTTGACTGCATAGAGCACGTGAACCATGATGGGCTGGGAGACCCAGGGAACACCTCTGACCAGGCCAGCTCCTTGCCCCTGGGTGAAATTGCTCCAGCATGAGGGGCCACACCATGGGAAACCTCAGGACCCTGCTCTTATATCCGGCTGCTGCCAAGGGAATCCTGGGCTGGATGCAGGGATAAGGCAGCTCTTTTTGTTCCTCGCTCCTTTTGCCTCTGCACTGCTGCTAAGGCAAAAGAGCTACGGGAGGGAAGCAGAGGCTCCTGTGGGCTCCTGAGCACAAGGCAGCCATTGGGTTCAGGAGCGTGGTCAGAGAGTAGCTGGGGCTGCAAGAGGACTTGGAGATGCTGCTGTGGCTGTGTGGCMATGTGTAGCTTTAGGGGTTGACCTTAGGAGCTGGAGCCCCTCTGCTTCCAGAGGGCAATCCTTCCTCAGCAGTTTCTAACGCAAAGGGGAAGATCCACAGGCTGCAATGCTCTCTGCAGGTGCCGCTGTCTAGATGCAGAAAGGGTAGTTTAGACTAGAAAGGCACTTGCAGCTACCTGACACCAGTCCTTCCTCAGATACCTGGTGCTGTTCCAGCTCTCCTCATTTCTACATCGCGGAGAAAAGGGAAACTGCTCGCGAATCCATGTGGAGACTCATCCATGCGGTTCAGACTGTTTTCATTGTGGAATCGCGCTCTGAAGAAAGCCCTCATTGTTTTGCGTCCCACCTCCTCTCCTCATTTATGTTAACTTTATTTGTCCTCTTATCAAGACAGAGTACAATGTGACCACAGCTCCACATGCACGCGATTTGTCATGCTTGGCAGTTGATGCTCTTTGCAGGAGCAAAGGGCTGGAGTAGCCGGAGCGCCGTGGGTCAGGCTGAACTGCAGGCACGTCGCCAAAGCTGCGGGCAGCCCTTGGCCTCGYGCGCGCTTCGGTTTTCCGAGCCCTATCATGCCATCAGTTTTGGCAGAACTCCCTTTGGGAGTTTGGGATGTCTGTGCTGCTCCTCGTAACCCATCGCGCTGGCGGCACATTTGTGGACAAATAAAAAATAAAAGTAATTATTTTTCGGAAACAAATATGAGGAAATATAACTCTTAAGGATCAGTTCCATGTGTTTGTCTATGTTCTTGCTTCATCCTTCACAGCTATTAGCTTGTTTGTCTTCCCTCCTTCTCCAGCTCGCTGCCTTTGCTAGATGAGCGAAGTAAGTCACAATATATTCTTAGGGTATATTGAACATGTTTTTGTATTGCCTTCCTTTCTTCATTGTAACTGTTACCATTCTTTTCTCCCTTTGCAAAACTAAAAAGTATTTGTAATAAAACAAAGCAGCTCTTTCACATACCACATTTCTTGTTAAAAGCCCTGCTTTTAATTTCTTTCCAGAGTAAATATCCAACCTCCTCTACCAAAACTAAATGCTTATTCTTCATTCTTTTCCTGTAATTTCTCTAGAGTGTTCACTGTCATTGTGTCTCTAGTAGATATGGATGAGAATCTCCTTGTGTTACAGAATTTTATTCTTTTCTTGGTGTTTATAGATAGAGGGAAAGCATGTATTTTAAAGGGTTTGAGAGAAATCTTTTGAATGATTTTTTTCTGCTGTCAAAATGCACGGGTAGCATCGTAGCAGTGTGAAAACACAGTAATCATAGGCTTCACAAGAATAGCAGGATCACGTGAAAAAGGATAGGAAATGCCCAGTATTCCTTTGAGATCTCACCCTTCTGAGGTGAGATCTCACCTTCTCCATCTGCTCTTTACAGAACTATTTAAAAACTGAAAACTAGACCCCTGTGAACGGAAGAGTCTGTGGGTAGCTGACAGCAACGGCACCCTTTTGTACCATCATTTGTGGCGTTTGTGGTTATAATCCTTTGAATTACCCTGATTCCCCTCTGTTCATGCAATTTGTAGAGGATCTTTGCCATTTTTARTTGGAGCAGGCTTAGCAGACTCATGAAAATCAGTGTATTTCACACCTGGAGGTGGGTTTCTCTTTTCAGAAATGCCTCCTACTTGCCTGTACTGTGCTTAGATTGAATGAGGGATATGAGCTGTGCTGTTCTCTYAGAACGTGCAGGCAGAGCTTAAAGCTCTAAAGCTCTTTAAGCTCTATCTCTGCACTTGCAAACCAGAAGTCCCACTAATGTTTTTCCTGTTGCTGTAACCATCGACATTTGCTGTAAGAATTTGATCCTATTGTTCTGAAAGAATCTGTTTTTATAATTTAGTAGGACTATTGTTCTTTGATCACTATCTCCCTGTTAAGAGTCTTCTCATTCTATCTACATTGACTAAAACTGGTGTTTTTCATCTTTCAGGACTTGTGCCATTCTCATTGTGATAATGCCACAATCGAAAATAAAATCACAACTATTATCAACTGCTTTATTAATTCCGCTGTGCCGCCAGCTCTGCAGATTGACATCCCACTTGAACAAGCAGAGAAGATTYTGGAGCACAGGAAGGAACTAGGACCTTACGTTTTTAGAGAGGCACAGGTAAAACAAGAAAAAAAGATGGAAGACTCTGTAACAGATTTGGCTAGAATTCCTGTGCCTGTTTTTATGTACAGGACTTTTGGCTTGCATGAAAATTTGGACTCTGTACATAAACTTAGGCACAAAGTAGAATATTGTGGTCATCCATTTCAATACAGATTATATGCTAGAGATGACAGAGAAACTCCAGATATTAACTGCTCAATAAATTGGACATTTTTTTTTCCCAGCTTCCTGATTCCTAGAAAGGTATTCTCCAGCCTGGTTTAGGAGATCTCATTGCCCACTTGCTCATTTTTGAACTGCTGTTTTTTTATTTTCTAACATCAGGGGATTAATTTGTAGTTAAAGGATTCATTCATTTAAATATATTAATATATWAAAAAAATAGATGTCTGTAAAGGACAAAGACAGCATTGCTTACTGAAAGTCTTTCCCTTCTCTATAATATAGAGTTTATGCTGAATGACTGTAGACAATTTTTTCTCCCTGATATTTGTGCTAAATACTACTGCCAGTCAAAGGTGAGTCCATAACGCATTTGGATCTCAGGAGATGAATGGTTTGTCTGAGAGAAGGATTCATACAGATCTGAGGAGAAACCAGAAGGCCTATTTAAGAGTTAAGACTGTAAAACATAGCAAATTCCAGAAATGYAGCACAAAACCAAAGGAAGAACTTGGCAAAAAAGCTGTGACTGGAATATGATAGTGACTCAAATGTCACTTTTGAGTGGGCTGAGCCAGAATCAGTGAGGTGCTGAGCACGCCTGACTCCCTTTAAAGCCAAGTTTCTCAATGAGAGTTAAACTTCTAAATAACTCGAAAAATGTGGGCCTTAGTACGTGCAGCAACAGAATGCACTGAGCCCCTCTGTTTGCTTTTTTAAAATTGTTTTTCTTATTCTAGTTCAAAAAAGACCCTGTGAGAGATTATATCATTTAAAAATTATCCAGGATTTGCTCATAGATCTGTAATGTGGTTTAAGAGCCTTTCCAGAGACAAAAAAAAAGTATTTCCTTTCGCTTAAGCAGGAAAAAAAAAAAGCTCTCCCTAATGAACAGAATATTTGAAATACTTGAGCAGAATAGTGGTGCAAAAGCAATTCTGCTGGTGTATATTTTATCAAGAATAGTTGTAAAAAATGATGGATGTTTTCATTAATGCAAACAATTGTTTAGGGAAATATAAAAAAAGAAAGTGCTTTTTAACTGTGTTTTAGGAAGATTTCTCACCAGTAATAAACACACTGATGAAAAGCATGTGCTGAGCAAAGCTGGGCTGAAATGTCAGGACACAGTACGTGAGAGGAACAGGGCTGTGTATTCAAAAAGAAATAGCTATTTCATTCTCATGGTAAACTACATTTTATTTTACCATAAACTCTGTTTTCTTAGTACAGTCAAGATAGACTTTCTTTTCTTTCTGCTCAGATGACTATTTTTGCACTTCTGTTTAAATTTTGGCCAAATTTTTGCGAGTTTCGAAGCAACCTGGCCACTGACAATATTTTACCTGCCTTGGAAAGAAAAAAAGAACGACTGATGCAAAAGAAGAAAAGCAAAACAGCAGAGGTAAGGCTTAGAGACTCACGTGAGAGCTGACAGGCTGCATGCACACTCTTTTATGAGCAAACGTACAGGAATTCAAATATCCTTTTTCTCAGTCTGATCCACAGCTACTGAAATCTTCCTGCTAGAATGCAAGCTTGACATACGATCCGCTCCTAGGACAACTAGCTCCCAATCCTGCCAATGCATATATGTATGTTTAACTTGAAGCAGATGAGTCAATGGAATACTCCTTTCATTAAGCGGAGGGGAAAATGTATTTTAGCCATCTTTTTGTGCAGAGGGAAAAAGTGGAAAAGAGGGATGAAACCTAAAAAAAAGGGATATATGCTACAATTGGTAAACATAGATTCACCTGCACTTTCAGTGTATTCTGTCATTTGTGAGGATTTACAGTCCTCAGTGGCCCCTATTAAAAAAGCCCCAGAGATTTCATGTCTATCTCAGAAGGAGCCCTTGAGAAGTCTACACATCATCTTTTTAAAATATTTGCATGCTAATTGCTCCRTACGAGCCTTATCTTCTCTTGAGTATTTCTTAGCTTTGACAGTGAAATTGTTAAGAGTTCTCACACTGAGTTTCCAGGCAGTTTCAGTGCATTAACAGAACTGTGACCTCTAGAGTAGAATGCTTGCTGGTAAAATTGTTTTTCTTGGAATTTTATTATTAAAATATAATGTTTTTTTTTTTTCTATTGATTATAGGCTTTGCAAAAGTTTATTTTTTACCAAATGTAATTGTTTGGCCAGCTTTGAGGAGAGAACATTCCTCTAAGAGCTGGGAAATTACTAGACTTGCAAACTATCCTAAGTAGCATGAGAAGACCTTTACATATTTTAAATACCATATACACATGTGTTGAGATGTTACCGGTGATGGRAACCGCATGAGTACCTGGATAAAGACATATGCCTGTAAGAACATGTCCACTTTGTTATCCTCTTTTTAGACAGATGAAAATTGAGGATCAGTGAAGTGTTACTCAAGGCCACACAGCAATGTCAAGTGAAGTCTAAAATCCAAGAACTCATGCTACTTTCTCCAAAGCACGTTGCCTCCATACAGAAATGTCTGGCAAGGCCATTGGCAATACTTATAGTGCAAGAATGCAATATTTCAAAGTAATGCACTTCTGTGTTTTCACAGAGTTATTTTTTCCATCTGTTTGTTGCCTGTCTATAAGATTTCTGATTAGGATCAAGGAAATAAAATCTTGGCCAGGAGGGCAGCAGCCTCGCTTTTATGGGGAACAAATGGGAAAGGTGAATTACTCTTCTTAAACTGGAAAATAGGGCAAGAAATGTTAGAAAGTGATAGGCAGAAAATGCAGCTCAGTAAACAGTTTACAGGCTATTCTTTTCACCAAAAAAAAAAAAAAAAAAAAAAATCAGTATACCAGTTATCTTTAAAACCTCTCAAAAGACTAAGAGGACAGATGAGTCTTTGAAACCTTTTTTCCTTTCTTTATTTAAATAGTTTCCTGTTTCCTCCTCTTTTCTGTCCCCTCAGTGACAGCATAACTTTCAACAAATTGATTCAACCCAGCCAAGGACAAAGTATCTGTGGCAGGACAGTGCATGAATCTAAAGCCACTCCTGAAGTCAGATTTAGGATCAAAGTGTTTTCTATATCTTGCAATGTCTTGTTCCTGGTCCTACCAGGCACATGCTGAAGAAGAGGAAGCCTCTGGCAAAGGGTGGAAACGATATTTTTTCTTACCTTTTTTCTCAAATCTATTGCCATCTATTTGTGCTTTATGTCAAACTAAACAACTGCAGTACTTGGAGACAAATTTTACATTTTCCTCCCACAAACTCTTTGCTGTGCTGGCCCATCTACCTGGGCTGTCCTCACTTCCTGAAGGGACCAGTGACCCAGCAGCTGGACAGGGGGGTAGCACAGAGGAAAACCCGGGGAGACGGGGAGGTTGTCACTGGAGAACAGAGCATGACTTTTCTTGGTATTAGCTGACTATTGCAGGGATTTGTCTGGTGCCTCCTTGGCACTTATGGAAAAAAWTTGGCTGCTTTACCTGACCTGCTGAAGGCTTCCTGGCAGTAAGGGAAACCCCCTGTAAGTGCTGCATAACCTCACTGCTCCAYTGCTCCACTCCTTAACCATGCCTCAGTTAACCATGAGGCAGCAGTGCCCTCGTGGCCAAGAAGGCCAATGGGATCCTGGCTGCAYCAGGAGGAGTGTTGCCAGCAGGCCAAGGGAGGGGATCCTGCCCCTCTACTCAGCTCTGGTGAGGCCGCACCTGGAGTACTGGGTGCAGTTCTGGGCTCCCCAGTATAAGAGGATGTGGAGCTTCTCGAGAGGGTCCAGAGAAGAGCAGCAAAGATGATTAAGGGACTGGAACATCTCTCGTATGAGGAGAGACTGAGTGAGTTGAGCCTGTTTAGCTTGGAGAAGAGAAGGCTGAGAGGGGATCTGATTAACATGTATAAGTACATGCAGGGAGAATGCAGGGAGGAAGGGGCCAAGCTCTTCTCATTGGTGACAGGACAAGGGGCAATGGGTATAAGTTGCAACACAGGCAGTTCCATCTCCGCGTGAGGAGGAACTTCTTCACTGTGAGGGTGCCAGAGCCCTGGCACAGGCTGCCCAGGGAGGCTGTGGAGTCTCCTTCTCTGGAGGTCTCCAAACCCGCCTGGATGCCGCCCTGTGCCCCGTRCTCTGAGTGTCCCTGCTGGAGCAGGAAGGTTGGACTAGATGATCTCTGGAGGYCCCTTCCAACCTCAACCATCCTGTGATTCTGTGATTGCTCTTTAAGCTTCTTAGTTTTAACCTTACTCTTTGTAAGTGGTATAGTAGCAAGAGCTGTGCCATTGCCATAACTTTGTCTTGTTTGCTATGAGGAGTTGTTATTAAAGGACTTATTTAATTCTCCATTCTCATTTAAAGATAGCAAATATCAACAATATTATTTGAGTATGGGTAGTGATTCTGTTTATGCATTAGTCTTCCTATTTTAGGAAGTCTATTTGTGTCTTATCCTATTAATTAATTAATAAGTCCCATTAGTGTCTTATCAAAGTTAACAAGCCTGCTTCTGGAGAGAAGATAAATACCATGTTGCCTAAGCAGGTCTGTTTCTGAAAATCTCCATTAGAGATGGTGGGTCTATAGCATGATTAAGAAAAAGGCTTGTTGGAAGAAAGGAATTAAGATATTYTGGTCCTTTTCCAGGTCTTTCAGGCACTTCCTGAGTGAATTTGGGAAACCATTTGACCTCCCCTCTTTTTCTCATTTGCAACATGGGGCAAGCAAATTATGTTACTTGCCTCATGGGGATGTTGTGGGGCTAATCAGGCAGACTGTGTAAAAGCAAAGCCTTAAAAAAACACTAAAACAACATTAAAATAGTGAACAGTTAATATCTTGAGCATTTATCAAGGATTACGGTGCCTTGCATGCCACTGTAAATGTTTTAAATAAGATTGCCTAAGTTTCTAATATATACACTGTAGCTCATATGCAGCTGCTGGACTTAGAGCTGGAATAAACCATGGGAAATCCTATGTCCTGCATGTATACATCAGAGGATTTTTAATGCCCCTCTGTCCTTACAATATATTCTGTTGCAGGTTCACCCTTTCCCTTAGCTACAACTTGCTCCTTCGGAATCTGAAATGAAGATGGCTGGCAGGGGCTGGTGAGGAAACTTGATAGCGACAAAGAAATGCTGTAAATTTGCTTTAAAAAGCAGTGTCTTCTATTTGTTAGTGTGTCTGAGGTGATAAATTATGAACCTGAGCATTAGAAATCCAAAATATGTCAATAGTATAAGGTGATACCACACATGACAGGTTTCAAATGACAATTTTGCTTCCTTAGGCTTTCTACTTCATTACAGTAGTTACTGCTCACATCTAATTATGAGTTCTTCCCATTGTTGGCAGGGTAAAGGAGAGGAGAAAAAAGCTCTCAGTCGGTCAAGCAGTGTTTTCAGAGATGAATTTGGTGTGGAGAGAAGACGAGCATCATGTCCATATGGATACACGCAGCAGGTGACTAATAAGCTGCATGCATACACAAACAGACTGAACATAAATCATATCATTCAAAAAAGATAAATGGCTTGAGGAGAATGGGAAGGTTTGGCTCAGAATACCTGCTACATGATTCTTCAATACCTGTTCATTCTTCTACCATTAAYTTTACTGTTTATTAGTTTACCAACCTTATCATCTCTTTTGTTTTGTGTAAGATTTATGTTCTAGGAAGTATTAATATCTAACAATATCAGGCCATTTAAGTTTGGAGGTTTAATTTAGAGATAAGTTGCATGAAAAGARGTTTAATCTAGAAAAAATATTGTATGATTAGGGTAATTCTTGAAAAAAAATGGTTCAGCTTGAGTCCTGTTGCACTAATAGGTCACAACTTGAAACTGAGGTCATTTAGTAAATCTAGGTATTTGTATATAAAGTCAGACAGAAAGTAACTTAGTTATCTAGTATTTCTTTGAGTACAACTCGCATAATGCATCAAATGTGTAATGAAGGACACTGCCGTGATAGGATGGGGAATCTGTGCGGTCAAATAATCACAGCTGTAGCACGTGATGCAGGAGTAAATCTCACTCTACTCAGTGCTTCAATTCCTTGGAGCTCCTCCATGGCACAACATTAGTGATGGCAGAATATAGAAATAGGCAGTCTGAAAATCCCTCCAAATCTGAAGCCAAAGTGCAAACTACATAGCTAAGCTCATAGTCTTATCCCTTAAATGGACCTTTGTAGCTTTTGCTTATATTTATATCAAGAGAAAAAAAGTGAGCTGGGTGATTCCCAGGAAAGTATATCAATACCATATGCCTCRGGCTTCAAGAAGAGGCCAGATAACTGCATAAAGAGCAATAACCTCTTGTGAACCAGATTTTTCTCCCAGCCCCTTGCTGCTCTAGGAAGATGCTACAAACTCTTCTTATTGAATCACAAAATGAAAAATTGGCCTCAAGCTTTTCATGTTGTAATGAAGGAAAAAAAAAAAAAAAAAGGCCAAATAAAAGTACACTTCCCATTGTGATTTGAACCTGAAACATTGAATGTTGAAACTGAAGCTGGCTCTGCTGCCATGTAAAGGGCAACATTTTTTCCTTAGGAAAGGTGAGGGTGCCATCCCTGAATGATCCATCTCTGCTAGTAGTAGCGTGATGCGAGGGAGGTTAGGCAGAAGGAAGTGTGATGGTAATGAGGCCTTTTGGATTTGAGATAAGGTGCACTGAAGAGATACAACAGGGACATGAGAGGAATTAAAGTCCATGACCGCACAAAAGGCTAAAATTTTGTAAGGAGAAAGGTCTGCCTGTATAAATTTGAAGAAGAAATGAGATCAAATGTCATTGAGAATTAAGGATGGATGATAAAAGAATATAAGCATCGGGTCTGTCAGGTTAATCTAACAGTGTTGTAGATTTGCTTTTTTTTGCATCAAGATTATTTGTCCCATAAYTGCAGTACTGTCATGACAACCCCCCTGTTTTCAATAACTGAGATCAATTGGTTACTGGGATATAACATAAGCTTTCTGTTGCACTATTAAAATGGACCACCTCAGTGGTCTGGAGGCTACTTTTTTTAAATGTTTTTTGCAGGTTTCCTGGTCTTATTCCAAGTACATAGAAGCCTTGGAGCAGGAGAGAATACTCCTTAAAATGCAAGAAGATCTGGAGAAAAACCCATCATCACTCCTTACAGGTTATTAACCACGTTGTGTAGTTTAGGAGGCCGAGCATATAGCTTAGGTGAAATTTTCTCAGCGTAGGGGCTTTAGGTGATTGAGTAGCATATGTAAGCCAGTGCCTCTCTTGACMCTGTCAAGAGGGAAGTTGCTTTCTGCACCAGAATGATGGGTGACAAGTTTCTACGAAGGGGAAGAGGAAAGAGCCATACTACACATGCTCTGATGCAGAAAGGAATGTGTACATATCTTCATTCCATACCTCCTTGGGTCACCTCCAAAGGATTCTAGTACTTCAGCAACCTATGTGCAATCAAGCAAGTGAAACTCTCACCACTTTGTCAGCATGCTGTCGTGGGATCCACCAGCAGTTGCCTCAAGCTTGTATCAGCTATGAGTATTGCCCTAGGGTCTGCCCAAGGAGTTTATGACCTACCCGTTCCTTGAATAGAGCATGTGATATTAAACTACTCAGTTTTCCATCATTTCAGCTTTATTTCTATATGCAGGTTCCTCATCTATGTCCTTGCTGAAGCCACGTAGCTCTGAAAGATTCATCTTTTCTTCAAGGAGTAGTACGATCTTTGAGAAACGCTTAGATCTTCCCAGAGAAACAGAAAGTGAGTACCGGATTGCCAACACGGTACTTTGAAATTTAGATTTTTAAAAGCTAATTTTCCTGTCAATGCTGATGCTCATTATTAGTAAGTTGCCCCATTCCACATTTAACTGAAGTTATACAGCCTCACCATGAAGACAAGATTAGTTTTTACTCCAAACATGGTTGTCTTTTAGCCAGATGGAAATCTGTTGCAAAATGCAGCCTCTGAAATGTGGTAATCTAGGCTTTCCTGTTGGAATGTTTTAACTAGGAGCATGAGGTGACTGGAGGAAGCTCAAACCCCATGGAGTTACTGGCAAAGGCCTGACACAAAACTAGGAATAGATCATCTCTGCTGAAGCATATTAAGCACTGGAATGGGAAAAAGGAGTGGAACAGCAGAGCATTCCATTGAAAGGAAAATGACTTCAAAGCTTGAATTCCTAGGATAGAGTTCCCTGGAGATCTTGCTTGGTTTCGATTTTTAAGTCTACTCTGAAATTAGGTGGACTTCAAAAAATTGACAGAACTTGGATTATGGCTCTCCTTCTCGCTCTGCTCCTCCTTCATCTTCTATTTCAGGTCTTCAGCATTGCTCTTTTCATATCCTGCCCTGTCTGCTGTTCCTAAAGCTCCCAGTGCCTGAATACTTCTCCAGGAGAAAATTGCAGCAGTCCTTACTCTGTTATTTCCTCATGTTCTCTCTCTGCCTTTTCAACAGCTCTCCTAGATATAGATAAATCTCACAGCTGTTTGTACCTTACACACCTCCATAATGTTAATATATTTCATGCATTCATGCCCTTTTTTTGTATGATAGCTCTTCTGCTCTTTGACTCGGTGCTCTACACGCAGCTATGTCTCCATGCAGAGCCCTTGGGCAAGGACTTCAGTCTTGCCTTGTGAGCTGAGAAACTTCCATCCCGGCTCTKGCTCAAAGGGGCTGTCCAAGGTGGCTGCAGTTCTTGCCACAACCCAGCACAGCAGTCTCTAGCCCATCTCACTCTCTGAAACCTGAGATCAGCCTGTGGTGCTGCCCAATGCCATGAGAAAGCAGAGATGCGGAGAGGTTTGAGAGCTGTGCGCTCTGCTCCCTTGCTCTCGTTTCAGTTACAGCCTCCTCTCAGCCTCCACTGGAAATCTCCCTGCCCTGCCCTTTCCTCACTCTTAGCTCAACGTTGTTGTGTCTGTCTCTTCTTGTTCTGTCTCTTCTTGTATCCCTGTCCTCTGGTGGTTCTCCTCAACCTTGCTCCCCGCTATCGCCTCTTCGCTCTGCTGTTGGTGCAAGATTTCTGCAGAAGATCATGATAGTGTTTGATGCATTTGTAGGTGACCTGTTCTGAGCATTTCAAGCAGTCATGACACAGAAAATGATATTCTTTTTGCAGGCAAATTAAAATTTTTCTGAGAAATGGGATGCAGAGACACACGGTGAAAGCGGCCAGGAGACAAATAAGGCATTGGTGAGGTTTTTACTTATGCTTGCAGCAGAGATAACAACTTTTAATGTTATTAAAAATGTGGCTTTAGTCAACGATAAGAAAAGAAACATATTTCAATGTGCTTAATATCAACATGACTATGATAATGACTCTTGTGTTATTTATTTATTTAATTCGCACTTCTTGTGGCTCAAATCAGAGTTAGGGGCATGCAKGGGGCAATTAGGTAGGCAATCAAACCCAATTCTATAGTGCCTGATTTAATGAATAAGTAAAACACTGTGTATTGAATTGACGGCTCTGAAGCAGTGTGTCTTGGCACGCTGTGGCCTCAGTTCTGCAATTCATGCAACTTCTAGTCATCAAGAGTAAGTCATGAGATTTCTGAACTATCATAAAATCAAACCTTGTTGTGGTTTGGTCTAAATCCAGCCTGATTCCTGGTTTAAAGTACACCTCCTGCCTCATTTCTGAGATTCAGTCCCCAAGCAAGGCTTAAAATATACCAGGAACAGATCTGATTAATAATTTTTGCAAAATGTTATTCCTCCCAAGGCTGTACTCACAGGAAAGCTGTGGGAGCTCAAAGCTCTTGGACAGCTCTTCTCTCTCTTCTTTCTTGCTTCTTTTTACAACTTCAAGGGAGGCAGAGAGGCAACACTGAACATATGAACTGGGGGAATCAGAGCAGTTTTAAGGGGGCAGATTTGATGTGGGGACCAGGGCCAAAGGATTATTTGGGATTTTAAGGTGGGGCAGGGGCAGAATTTATTGCCAGGCAGGGGAGAGGATGATGACAGCCTTCTCCACATTTTTCAGACCACTTTAATCACGGGTCCCCAGCCACAGAGATGTTGGCTCCATTCTTCTGTACATGTGTGCAGAGCATGTAAGGGAAAGGCAAATGAGTGTGTTCCAGCTTGCTGAGTTCTCTAGGGYTTAGCCCAGTGCTAGGGATTGGATTATCTTCCTCTCCCCCTTCTAATCTCCGGGAAAAGAGGAAGAGCCATGTCAGAGATCCAGGTGCTTCACTTGGAGCTCTTGGTCATCAACCTGCTGAGGACCATTTGAGCGTCCTTTCCTCTTCCATGGGGACTACTTGGGTGCACTAAGGACCACTAGTCGTGTTCACTCTTTAGGCCAAATAACCTAGAATTGTAGGGGACTTCCACTGGCAGCTTCTTCAAGAGCAGAAACACCCTTTCTAGATAAAACTCATGTATCCTCACTGAAGGAGCAAGAGAACTCATCAGTTCAGTTCCTAGGTTCCCCACAGTTTAGATACAGATTTTTACATCATGCTTATTTCCATTGATTTCCCTGTGCCATAACTGTAAATGACTTCATCATTGCTTGAGGCAGACTTTTTAGGTAGAGGCCACAACAAGGATGTCAAATCTCTTTAAATGTTTGGGTGGTATCTACTTACCCAAATTTCACAGATGCACTGAACTTTAACGCTCAGTACATCTGAGGAGGGTGGAATGTAGCATCCCGTAGAGAGCAGAGCACGTGTGATACTGTCTGGTCCACCACTCATTAATGTGAAGGGCAAAGGAAAATTGTAAAATACCACCAACACAGACACCCACATCAGTCTGAACATCATGTGCAAGGCCACCTTCTCCTGCTGGGTAAGTACAGTACCTGCAACCAAATGCTGGACTCTGGCAGTCAGATTCTGATTTGTTGTATTCTTGCCTTCTTCTCGTTCAAATAAAGTTAAATAACATGTAGAAAATGCTTATCTTACATCAGTAGCTTTTACTTGAGTCATACTTGGATTACTTATTAAATGAAAAATGTTATCCACATATTTGTCCCAGATGATAGAACTCCTTGTGAATGTATTCCAGCCTTACAAAATTATTAATGAAAATTTACCAGCCCCTTCAAACTATTCGTTTAGCAAGATATCACGATTAATACTGTACTTGTCTATCAAATCTATAAACAAATTCAAAAATAAAACCCAACACTATGTACTTTGTGTTCTTCAGTGAGTGAGGAGCATTTTGCAGACCTGGTCTGAACACTCTCAATTCTGTAAATCAGCAATAATTCTCAATCCATTTTACAATTCTGTCTCTATATTATCTGAAATATATGCATTTTCTCTATATATGTGTGTACACACACAATCATTTATGGACCATTTCTCATATGCAACTGAGAAGGATCATATCTGTTTGAAATGCTTGAAGAATGTGTCATATGGTTATGCCTATTTCATGTGTTAGCTTTAAAGAAAAACAGAAAAATAGAGGGAAAGCACAAGGGAAATATTAACAGACAYGAACTCTTTTATATCTGGGTTACTGAGTCTAATCTGATGCAGTGGCAGATCCCACACAACTGGTGTTTGGTGATACATCTGAAATGAAATAGGGATTTTAGACYAGGGATCAAGTAATGACTATTGCCAATTCCAAACAGAAAGTCTGAGAACTTAATGGATATAGCGACTAAATACATATGATTGCTGTAAATCACTTCAGGCAGCTTGCACTGCTGTTGCCTTTTATCTTGTCTGTCAGACACACTCTCTCTTKGGTTGCTGCTGGACCACCTGTGTGAGTTGTGCAGGTTAAAGGACTACAAAAGATGCCCTCAACACCTCTAGCATCTCTCCTTTTAGATAAACAAAACTTCATTCCTTATGAACTGTATATAATTTAGGTGTTTGTGAAGACTACAGCGTTACTGCAGAATAAAGGCTGTGTGTGGACTTTGCTTCTACACATTATCAAAACAGATCTGTTTTAGAAAGAGAAATCCAGAAACTCTTCTGAATRGATTTATGATTCATCTGCTTTACTGGTGGTCAAAATAAAATCTAAATATATTCATACAGACTTACATTTTTCCTTTTTACTTGCAAATATTGCAATACGTTGGAAGTACTCTGGATTTTTTTAAACCACCTTATGCATTCATAAATATTTACACTTAGATACTACTATTGTGCATTTCAGCTTTCTCTGACCAGACTTGGTCAGTTCATTAAAATAGTTTGCCTATCACACAGGGCTTACCTCGAGGGGTTCAGTTCTTAAGTTATTCATTCAAATACTTTATGATATCAACATGAAGTGTGACTATACATTTCAGGAAGGAGATTTATAGATTTTGTTTTGACTTCTGGCCTGCTACTGCGTGACACAAAGCACAAGACAAGATAATGCCTGAAATACGTAGTCTTGGATTATGTTTTTAACATGCATACTCTCAGTAGCTCTCTGGTGGTGGTCACTATTACACTGAGAAAAGAGCAAAAAGCTGCKGCTTTTGCATCAGTGAAAAGCTGTCTTGCCTCCTCATGATCTGTTCTGTACTGGCTGTTCCTTAGGAGAGACTATTAATGGGGGTAGCCCTAGTTGCTGAGCTGTGGCTTGGCTTGTCCCTTTGAAGGTGTGGAAACCTCGTGCTTAATCATGGGCTATTGAGCTCAGCGGCTGAGCGAGGTGCTCTGCACACAGGGGGATCCAGGTTTAGCAGCCCCTGCCCCTGGTTGTGCCTCTCCTACTGCATGCAGRGGGGTCAGGCCAGGCCGGGCTGGGCTGCACTGTCTGCATCTTCTACGGGAGAAGAATCACGGTGACCTTTTCA